AATTTCATTAATTGACTGATTAATTAATTTATAAGGCGCAAATACACAAGGTCCCTATAAAGCGCTATGAACAAGTAAACAAATGGTATGGGGAATGTAAAGAAAAAGCAAATAATGCAGAAGATTCAAAGAACAAATAAAAACAAAACAAACTATCCTAAAATTAACTAGTAAAGGAAAACCACAGAAACAAACTAGTGCAGCGACTCCCTGAGGGAACCAAAACCATTGCACTGTTTTCTTACAATTTGGGACCAAGCCAGATTATTACTCACAGGCGCTCTAACGGTTTTTAGCATCAAACTAGCCTACCAACAAAACAGAGGCAAGAAAAAAAAAACTTCATTGGAGAAAACATGAGATCTCAAGGATGCAAACAGGTGAGTTTTAAGTTGCTTCTTAAAAGTGGCCAACGAAGGAGACAAGCGAATAAAAACTGGCAGATCATTTGACAGTTTAGGGTCGGCAACACGAAATGACCTTTCTTCAATTAATGTTTTGACAGCATTTGGTGTGAACAACATTGAATTGCTTGAAGTAGAACGGAGTGTTTCATTACAGGTTGTTAAGTGGAGAGTTTGAGATGGTCATGTAGGCATTAGTGACAGTAGTGAAGGGTCTTGCAGTTCTTTGTGTGTAGGTGTGATGCTTTGATCTAGGAATGAGTTTAACAAGAAGTGCAGCTGAGCTTAGTTGATGTTCAAGTCCTTCTCTATGTGTTGTAATAGTCACGACTTGATGTAATGAGATCATGCAAAAGCTTCTTTGTTGCATCTTCATTAATGAAACGTTTGATGTGCCTGATATTTCGGACGTGGAAGTTCACTACAGCAGGGGTGGCGCCAGGATTTGCCCGACGGGGTGGGGGGAGCGATGCCCCGACGAGGGGGTCAGATTTTCCCGACGAAAGCAAAGTGGGCGTGGTCGAGCTTCGAATAAATTGTTTCGAAAGTGATCCTTGGCGCGAAGCCCCGAAAATTTGGACAATTTAGGGGTTTCAAAGGCTCATTAAATCGATTTTAGAGTCTACTAATATGTAGAAAATATATATAATTTTTTTTTCTCCCCGACGAATTGTGCTTTTTCTCCCCGACGGGGACCAGCTCTCCCCGACTGTGGGGGGGGGGGGGCTGTTGGTAGAATGGTTGGTAGATGGTTCGGTTGGTAGATGGTTCAGTTGGTAGAACCATGGCAGAACTAAGTCTTCTCGGATAAGGACTGGAGGTCTAGTGTGTACATCTGGCTCGTCTATTCATGAAGTATGTTGACCTAATGAACGTGATTCAAAAACGTGCACAATATGGTTGAACCAACTTTAAAATGTCGAACAAAAACGTACGTGTCGACACACAATAACTTTAGAAAATTGCATTCAAAAGTATTTTAGTTCATCGTACCGTTGATTGTATTCAACAGATAAGAAGCTGTTCATGGCACGTTTTTTAGCTCCGATGAGGAGCTATTGGAGTATCCTGCTGATTGCGTGCTTTTTCGCAAATTGATTGTGCTTTTTTCACGACTGGTTGACTTTGCTCTTTTGCTGACTGCTGATTGACTGCTTTTTTCCCCCATTTTTTAGAGAAGAAAAATAACGGGCTCGTCCGGGAATTGAACCATGGACCTCTCACACCCTAACCTACATTCATGCCTCTAGACCAACAAGCCATAGTTACTATGTCTCACACCCTAACCTACATTCGTGCCTCTAGACCAACAAGCCATAGTTACTGTGTCTCACACCCTAACCTACATTCATGCCTCTAGACAACGCAATAGTTACTATGTAACTAGGAGATCTAGGAATACTCGGCTGATAGATCTTTTTTGCTGATTGATTAATAGATCTTTTTTTTCATTTTTATAGATAAACGCATAACGAGCACGTCCGGGAATTAAACCAAGGACCTCTCATACCCTAACCTACATTCATGCCTCTAGACCAACAAGCCATAGTTACTGTGTCCATGCTGTGTCTCACACCCTAAGCTACATTCATACCTCTAGACCAACGAGCCATTTACTGTGTCTCACACCCTAACCTACATTCATCCTCTAGACCAACAACCTATAGTTACATGTCATTTTGAAGGAGCTCTAAGAATACTCGGCTGACTGATAGATCTTGCTGATTGAATTTTTTTCCCTCTTTGTTTGTTTGTTTGATTGCTTGATATTTTTTTTTGTGTTGGCGGCCATTAGGGCCAACACTCTACTGCCACTATTATACTACCCTCATCGAAGCTTTCAAGATTACGAGAACTTGTTTTTTTTTTGTTAAAAAAATCATCCTACTTGCAATGTTTGCTGGCACACAATAGGTAAATTGTAATGCATATAATTTATAATTATGGCCTCTAAAACCTAATGTTACTGAGGGGAAATTTAAGTAGGAATGTTTAAAGTTATATTTTAGATCTACATGCCTTTCGAACGGACCCCCAAAAGTCCCGGGCCCGTACCATATATATACTGTCTCTTATACACATCTAGATGTGTATAAGAGACAGTCAGTAAAATTCTTAGCACAAGTATCTATATCACAGTCAACGGAGAAGGTATTCAAAAGATGAGCCTGAATATCATTTTCAAATGCAATCATATCAACTCGTCTGAGATCACGTCTCTTAACAATTAAACTGTTCCATTCCACCATTTATCGATTCCATATATTCTTTTATACTTATGTTACATTTTACAAAATTTACCAATCCTAAATTCGACGGCTGAACAGAACCACATCTTGATTTGTAGATAAAGAATTTTACTAATGATAAGATTATTAACAGACTTGTTAGTGTCCAAATAAAATACATTCCTTTGTAAAAGCATTTTTTAACTCGTTGTTTGATTTTTTTTGTTTAAATTCTTTGGGTTACAAAAGCCCACAACTTATCCGCATAAATACAATCATAGAATATAAGCTGAATTTTTTCGGTGTTTGTTTCCCAAAACGTACAAAGATCACATTCTTTAATTTTTTTAAAAGTATTTGTTGTTAAAGGTTCTAGCGACAAATCTATATTAAAACCATTGATATATTTTGTTATTTATTCCTCAGATTTAGACCCAGTAACAAACGCAATGGCATCTTTCCGCATAATACTGGTATATATAGTAAAATAAAAGGTAAAATAAAATTAACAGCATAAACACTTCTTAGTAATTATTAAATTATTTTTTAGTCTTAAACTTAGTGCCAATTTCCCAGTCTTTTATCGCCGTTGAATTTTATAATACAAATTGCTGTGTATATCTTCTTCATACAGTATGAACTACAGTATTTTATAAAATTTATCTCAGTCAAATTGTATAAAATAATATATATGAAGAAGATATACACAGCAAGAAGATGCAGATAGGAATCATAGACATTATATAAAGCAATATAATTAAATTTACATCAATAAACCTGTGTCCTCATTTAGCATGGCAAAGACTGACATGTCATCACAATGTCAAACAATCGACAGAGGTAATAGCGTTAAGCTGTGAAAAACCCTCATTGTTTAGGGTGGATATAAAAAGATTGTTAGATTATCAGGGGCTAGAAGCCTGTAAAGAACACGTGAAATAAAATTTAAACATTGTTCTTGTTCACTCAAGTTTAAAGGTAGGAAATGAATGGATGGATTTAATTGTTGTTAATACCAAGTATAACCCACAATAATCTGCAGAAGACTTATTTCCAGTAGAGTCTTTCTCATGGTGACTGACTTACGGAAGGAAAATGACCCATAACTATGAGCATGGTCTTTGAATAATGTAGCAGCTGTAGAGAGCCGTTTAGTTCAAACACAGAAAACGTTTTCTATTGTCCAAATCATTTTACAAATGACGGGTAATGAAATGAACCGTAGCATCGGGGTAACCCTCTTCTCTTCCGAAAGATGCAATGGATTCACACGGTCCAGAAGGGTAACACTGGACAACCCATTTTGAAGACATGGTTGTACGAACCGAACTCTGGGCGGGTATCGGCTATAACCAGCACTGCTATAGTATGTGAGCATCATTTTATTATAAAAGAAAAATATCGGTCCAATTTAAATTGCTGTGATAAAATTGTTTAATTTCTTGATAGGGATCAGACAGCTTAAGGATTTTATCTGGAGTTGAGTGGGGTTAAATAGCTCAGTGGTTGAGATGCTTGCCTTCTGATCCTAGGGTCCTGGGTTCAATTCCTGTCACAACAGGACTTTTTCTCACAACCAAAACCAACTCCACTCCCTAAGACTCATAAAAAGACTTGCTTTATAGAGCATCATTCTCATCCTGCAAAAAGTGGCGAGTGTACTTGCTGTTGGATGTGAAGCAAATTAATAAATAAATAAAGAACACATCTATCCAACATTATACTCCATACCCTGGGAAAATAATATATCATGATTTCTAAAAAGATATCATCCTTCATAAAATTTGAAAAAAGAAATCCTAAAAAATTTAATTAAAACATCAAATTTTTTTCAAGAAATTCAAAAAGAATCAAATACAGTTAATATTAAATTCTAATAGAGCTCTGTCCACACTATAAAATTTTCTTTGACAAAAAACTGCTGTATGCCCATATATAGTCATGATGTGCCCATATATAGTCATGATGTGCCTATATATGGGCATGATCTGATGTCATCATGGCCATATTTAGGCATGTCACATTTATTTGTCAAATAAAATTTAATAGTCTGACAGAACAAAACAATTTAGTTTTCAAAGACTTGAACATTTTTATTACAAAAAATCTTTATATCGCCTGTTAATTTACGTGGCTGCAAAATATGTATTGCAAGGATGGGCATTAAAATATAATTTAATGTAAATATGCTTTTTACTGGTTTCTCAGTTCTAATACAGTATTACTTTTTACAAATGATAGGTGTAGAGCCAAAAATGGGTTTTCTAGTCAAAGATGATAGGCAGGGACTTAATTTCAGTTTTCGAGCCACATGAAAATTAACCATGGGGTGTAATTCGTCCATGTGTGATGTACAAGAACAATATTATGTGCGTCTCAGCAGTTTAATGATCATCAAAAATATATTTTCGTTGTAATTTAGACTTGGAAGACATTACTGTAAATGCTTGAATAAGTGCTGTGGCGCTATAACATTCTTGGAAGCATCAGTCCAGCGCTTATTCGAGAGCGGTGCTTATAAAAAATATTGGCTTTGCGCTTTCCACGCCCATTCCTATGTTGCCTATTTCACGTATTCACGTAGTTCGGTAGGCCTATTATAGGTCCTATCATCATAAATAAATGTTTATAAAGAAATGCTTGTCTTCACTGTGTTATTTATTCATTTTAACACTATATATTGTATTGAAAACCCTGTTTCTTAAAGTGTTTCATTACACACACGGTAATATATATTCTCGATTGCGTGCCGTGGCGCTTATTTGAGAGCAGCACTTTAACGAAAAATTAAGCTTGGTGTGGCGCTTATTCAAGTTTGTTTGTTTTTATTTCGAGCTCAAAAAAATATTACATTGAAAAAATTTACAAAGCAAAACTATTCAGAATAACAGAAGAATACATCAAAAGGGTAAAAGAAATCAGACACTCCACAGAACATGAACGAATGGAAAGAAAAACAAAACAATTATACGCATCAGAAAAAAAAAAAACAGTTCAGAGGGAGCATTCCATAACCCTTTAAACCCGAACGTTTGCGTTTGCTTCCACAGAGCGGCGCTTATTGGAGCATTTACGGTAATGTGAATATACAATTTCAGTAAATTAACTATAACTTTTGTTAATGTTATTAACTAAACAAAGAGTTTACAGCTTTGAAGCATGAATTGTAAAAAAATACAATTATATAAAATTCTTTATAAAATAAGGTTGAATCATTGGATAATGTCCAATCTAAATACGATATAGCAAACAAGTCAAGTTAATTTTAATGTACAAATTAATGTACATAGACAAATTACTGTATTAACATTTTCATTTAAGATTGACATATCTGTTGACACCAATAAGTTTTATCTGACAAATACCTTTGATTTCTTCATATATGGATGTGACATGACATCATCATATTCATATTAAGGAAATACCAAAATCTATCACAAAAAATATGTCTATATCTTAAGGCAGGGCATGCACGATCAGACTAAGGGTTTGTGCATCAGTACCAGTAAACAATGTTTGATCAGACATTTTCTGGCTTTCAGTATACTTGGAAAGATACACGACTTGGTGGTTCAAATACGTCTGAAACTAATACGTCTGACTACATCTGATAATGTATTCCTGGTTTAAACTAACTCCATGTACAATAGTAACAATTTGATCAGATATGTCTGAAAGAAGAATACACTATCAATGTCTGTTCAAACATTTTCTGAAAAAATGTGACAGTGTATGATGCATAGGTGTCATATGATTTAATTTACCGATTCCAATTCGTTGCTACTAAACGATGAGTTGACATTTTCATGGTTTAATAGAGCCTTTCACTTGAATGAAAACCAACTTGGCCTCATCTTTTCGGAGATTCTTGATGTTGTATACATTTCCTAAAAGAGAAATAAAATGATTCCTGAGTAATCTTGTCTAAATCGAAATGGTACTGAGTCTACAGGAGTTTCTGCTTGCATTAGGTAATTCTATTCATAGAAGAAGCCTTTTTAATAGAGTGTACCTGTCTGTTTTTAGACATAGTACTAGCCTAGGTCTAAATGTAACTCTATAAAACTGACTAAAAGATTGAAAAGTCTTTAGTACAGTACTGAACAATCACAACTCAAGTGTTATCATAATACATCAAGGACATACTGTAAGTACAAACATTTAGTAAAATACTGAACAATCAAGGATATACTGTAAGTAAAAATGGTGCTTCAATACACTTTAGCCCTTGTTAAAGCACAGACATTTTGGCTCCATATAGCGCTTCATGTTTTGCACACATTTTTGACAAAAAAAAAATCAAGGACTTTTTAAGGATTGTACAAAAAAAAAATTTTTTTTTTTTTTTTTTTTTTTTTTAAATATTTGGCTTAGCGCATACTGTGCACATGTTGCGCGCCAGGTTTTACCCTCGCTGTACTACACAATGATTTCATAAATAAAGATCATTAAATGTAAACAACTATTAATAAAATTTTACACCTACAGTATTTCATTCCATATGTGTTTGTATAATATTTAAGTAAATTCTGACATCAGGGAAATGAGAACACGGTTTTATTGAAATACTGCGAATAAAAGATGGTGTTTTTGTTCATGCTCAATTATCTTACGCTGAGAAAAACAATGTGATGATAATTAATAATGATAACATCAAAATAATAAAAATGACTTTCTACCTTTTGGGATGAAGAACATGGCACCTGATTCCAGAACCGATACAGTCTCATGAATCTGAACAGCAACCTTGCCACGCAACACCCGAAACACAACTGTATCATTACGTACAAACTGAAGGCCTTTCTCTTGTAATGGACGAATTATTAATTCTCCTTAAAAGACAAGTAAAAAATATAGAATGAGGTATAACATAGATAACATAAAAGGGATTTAGAAGTTCAATTAGCAATAATATTGAAGACTATTAATCATGCATTTTGCCCCTTTATGTGTGTGATGACATCATCATGTCAATATATAGGCAAAACACTAAAACTTGTCACGTGAAAACTGATTGTATGGACAAAGCATTAAGCCCTTCCCATAGTGTAAAATTTTATGTGACAAATAAATGTGATATGCCCATATTAACTTTGGTGTAATATGACGATGTCCACATATGGGCATTTCACACAAAATTGTATTAACACAATTTGATAGTGTGGAACAGGGAAATCACAGCCACGGCTGAATTACATGACATTTACAAATATTCCTGTTTAAAATTTTAAACATTAACTAAGCATAGCACAAGACATTAAACAACAACAACAATAAAGATTTAACATTTAAGCAACATTACATTTGGAAACATCAGAAATGGAAAATAAAATACATATACAGAATTAAATTATTATCCATAATCATATATTATTAATTAATCAAATCTAGAAAAAAAAAAACAAGACAAAATAAAATCAAAGCATTGCACGCCCCTCTACCCCCCCAAAAAAAATTACTCGCGTTCCCCAGTCACTCCCCAAAAATCACGGTCAAGTAGTTAAAAATCACCCATATTTTACGAATTAGCGCCCATCAACTGATCGAGTCCCCCTCCCAACTTCACTTTCGCGACCCCCATCAGCCACCCCCCCACCATTTCAAGACTTAACTGGTACACTGGATCTTTGATTTAAAGGCTTTATCACAAAAAGACTTGGTTCTACCAGCTGATCCCTGAGCAAGTAGCGTCTCAAACCTGCCAAGATGTGGCGCACACTATGATAGCGATATAAATCCTCACAGGTGGGAACCTTCACTTTAAATACTGATACTGCATTAGATGTGTATAAGAGACAGGTGTGATGTACAGAACAATATTATGTGCGTCTCAGCAGTTTAATGATCATCACAAATATATTTTCGTTGTAATTTAGACTTGGAAGACATTACTGTAAATGCTTGAATAAGTGCTGTGGCGCTATAACATTTTTGGAAGCATCAGTCCAGCGCTTATTCGAGAGCGGTGCTTATAAAAAATATTGGCTTTGCGCTTTCCACGCCCATTCCTATGTTGCCTATTTCACGTATTCACGTAGTTCGGTAGGCCTATTATAGGTCCTATCATCATAAATAAATGTTTATAAAGAAATGCTTGTCTTCACTGTGTTATTTATTCATTTTAACACTATATATTGTATTGAAAACCCTGTTTCTTAAAGTGTTTCATTACACACACGGTAATATATATTCTCGATTGCGTGCCGTGGCGCTTATTTGAGAGCAGCACTTGTCTCTTATACACATCTAGATGTGTATAAGAGACAGGTCCAGAAGGGTAACACTGGACAACCCATTTTGAAGACATGGTTGTACGAACCGAACTCTGGGCGGGTATCGGCTATAACCAGCACTGCTATAGTATGTGAGCATCATTTTATTATAAAAGAAAAATATCGGTCCAATTTAAATTGCTGTGATAAAATTGTTTAATTTCTTGATAGGGATCAGACAGCTTAAGGATTTTATCTGGAGTTGAGTGGGGTTAAATAGCTCAGTGGTTGAGATGCTTGCCTTCTGATCCTAGGGTCCTGGGTTCAATTCCTGTCACAACAGGACTTTTTCTCACAACCAAAACCAACTCCACTCCCTAAGACTCAGAAACTGTCTGTTTTTAGCCATAGTACTAGCCTAGGTCTAAATGAAACTCTATAAAACTGATTAAAAGATTGAAAAGGCTTTAGTACAGTACTGAACAATTACAACTCAAGTGTTATCATAATACATCAAGGACATACTGTAAGTACAAACGTTTAGTAAAATACTGAACAATCACAGCTCAAGTATCATCATAATACATCAAGGATATACTGTAAGTAAAAATGGTGCTTCAATACACTTTAGCCCTTGTTAAAGCACAGACATTTTGGCTCCATATAGCGCTTCATGTTTTGCACACATTTTTGACAAAAAAAAAAATCAAGGACTTTTTAAGGATTGTACAAAAAAAAAAAAAAAAAAAAAAAAAAAAAAAAATTTTTTTTTTTTTTTTTTTAAATATTTGGCCTAGCGCATACTGTGCACATGTTGTGCGCCAGGTTTTACCCTCTCTGTACTACACAATGATTTCATAAATAAAGATCATTAAATGTAAACAACTATTAATACAATTTTACACCTACAGTATTTCATTCCATATGTGTTTGTATAATATTTAAGTAAATTCTGACATCAGGGAAATGAGAACATGGTGTTGTTGAAATACTGCGAATAAAAGATGGTGTTTTTGTTCATGCTCAATTATCTCGCACTGAGAAAAACAATGTGTGATGATAATTAATGATGATAAAATCAAAATAATAAAAATGACTTTCTACCTTTTGGGATGAAGAACATGGCACCTGATTCCAGAACCGATACAGTCTCATGAATCTGAACAGCGACCTTGCCACGCAACACCCGAAACACAACTGTATCATTACGTACAAACTGAAGGCCTTTCTCTTGTAATGGACGAATTATTAATTCTCCTTAAAAGACAAGTAAAAAATATAGAATGAGGTATAATATAGCTAATATAAAAGGGATTTAGAAGTTAAATTAGTAATAATATTGAAGACTATTAATCATGCATTTTGCCCCTTTATGTATGTGATGACATCATCATGTCAATATATAGGCAAAACACTGAAACTTGTCACATGAAAATTGATTGTATGGACAAAGCATTAAGCTCTTCCCATATTGTAAAATTTTATGCGACAAATAAATGTGATATGCCCATATTAACTTTGGTGTAATATGACGATGTCCACATATGGGCATTTCACACAAAATTGTATTAACACAATTTGATAGTGTGGAACAGGGAACAGTTATATTGTTCCCTGGAGTGGACAGAGCATTAGCTTATAGATCATCACATTCTTCCATACTACACAATGTGGAGAGATGCATTCACAATGTGGAAAGATAAATATCACAATGTGGAGAGATAATCACAATGTGGAGGGATAAGTTCAAAATGTAGAGAGATCAGTTTACAATGTGGAGAGATACATTCACATATGGAGAGATAAATATCACAATGTGGAGAGATAAGTTCAAAATGAGGAGAGATCAGTTAACAATTTTGAAACATAAGGCCACAGCAATGTGGAGAGATACATTCACATGTGGAAAGATAAATATTACAATGTGGGGAGATAAGTTCAAAATGTGGAGACATCAGTTAACAATGTGGAGACATAAGTTCACAGCAATGTGGAGAGATACATTCACATGTGGAAAGATAAATATTACAATGTGGAGAGATAAGTTCAAAATGTGGAGAGATCAGTTTACAATGTGGAGAGATACATTCACATATGGCGAGATAAATATCACATTGTGGTGAGATAAGTTCAAAATGTGGAGAGATCAGTTAACAATGTGGAAACATAAGTTCACAGCAATGTGGAGAGTTACATTCACATGTGGAAAGATATATATCACAATGTGGAGAGATAAGTTCAAAATGTGGAGAGATCAGTTTACAATGTGTAGAGATATATTCACAATGTGGAGAGATAAATATCACAATGTGGAGAGATAAGTTCAAAATGTGGGGGATCAGTTCACAATGTGGAGAGAACAGCTTTGTTGAGAGGTATGTTTACAATGTGGAGAGATCAGTACATAATGTGTAGAGATCAGTTCACAATTTGGGAGAGATCATGAGTTGCGATATAAATCCTCATAGGTGGGAACCTTCACTTTAATTACTGATACTGCATTTTAATATAAACATATACTGATAGATGTTTCCACAAAAAATAGCTGAAAGCTATCCACACTATCAAATTTTATTTTTTTATTTTACTAAGGCCGAGGCCGTTATAGCTGTCAATTTTACTGGTAAAAATAACAGGTTAACCAGTAAAAAGTTTTTGCTTGTAAAATAAATTAAAAAAAAAACCACTTATTAGGCATAGGAAGTCTAGGCTGGCCTTCTTTCAATAAATGCCTATTGCCTAGGCTTTGACTGTATGTGTTATTGTTTTTTCAAGTCATTAATCCCCACTCAAACGTGACACCTCAATAAGAGCGCATAGCTGAATTTTCATGGACAATTTTACTAGTAAAAATGCTTCAATTGGGAGAACAATGATATGCCCATATTTGTTAATAATTTGACATCATCCTGTCCATATATGGGCACATCATATGGACAGAGCTTTAGGATACTTTTATTAGAATTTTTATCAAATTCTCTTTTGATAAAAAACTGCTGTATGTCCATATATAGAAATGATGTGCTTATATATGGTAATGACGTGATGTCATCATGACTATATTAGGCATGCCACATGTTTTTGTCAAATAAAACTCGATAGCCCGAGCAGGCATTAAAGAACATTATTTTACTGACCTGCAGAAAACGACTTCTGATATAAACTCTTGCATATTGAAATGTTGTCAGTCTTTTTTGACGGCTTACCGTTTGGACCATAGAACTGATTCATTTCCCCTGTCACTATGGCATCTATATTAGCCGATACAATTTAGAAATATAATCTATTAGTAAAGTAATAAAACCATAGGATTATGTGCTGACATATTATTATTACTAATATTATTTACATCATTTATAGCGTCGCCTTTTCTTTGCAGATACAAAGTGCTTCTTTTCCCTGGTCTTTGGGTGCACAAGTGTTGCTGCTGGTAAACAGTGTATGAGCAGGCAAACCCCACCAGGTATCCATTTATACTATTGGATGGTGAGAAGCAATGCAGGTGAAATGCCTTGCTTACGGACACAAGTGAAATGTACAGCGAGTGATTGAAACCCAGACGTCGAGGTTGGGAACCAACTCGCTTTCGCTGTGCCAAACCGCTTCTAACAATACTATAGTTATTTTTACCATCATCATTAAAAATATTATTATTATTATTATTATGCACAGTCACCGCCACCGTCATTGTCATTATCATCATAATACCATCTTTAATCTACTTCTGTATTAGTATAGTATTTTTTACGAGTGCCAGATCCAGAAATTCTAAATAGAGGGGCATGGGTTGAGGGAAAAAAATTCATAGATGGGAATGTTAGAACACCTCAGCCTACAGCCATGGTGGTAAGAAATTTTATGAAAATGGCACCGAAAATTTGAATATAAAAATCTTTCTTTCTCCATCTTTTAATAATCTTGAAAAATTTCGGGGAGCCTGGACAGGCTAGGCCTCCCCTCCCCACACTTAGTCTGCCACTGGGCACCACTTATATTATTGTACAAATATAATATCTCTATTATAAAATGGATATCTCTAATCAGAATCATCATCAGAATATCTCTAATTCATTAATTAAACTTATGAGGGCAGCAGACAATGATTTTCTCAAACTTGAAACCGACTGTCTCAAAACTGCAAAAAAAAATTAAATATTACCAATTTCAACCTCCTCGTCATTGCTTGGATTTATAACTGTTACTGTGGGGTTTACTTTTTCTTCCAACTCCACATCAGAGAGATCAGTATGAACTGAGAGATTGTGAGGCGTTTTGGGGATCACTTTGCCTATCAAAAACAAAAATCACTTGATAGTCATATTATACACAAAATAATTATAACACTGATTATTATTGTTTTATGACTTTATTATATCAAATAAATTAAATCAATATTATTAACAATAAATATATACCTGGTAGGAACGAATTAAGTTTATGAAGTGACATCAGTCAGATAAGAATAATTAAATTATACAACATTATGAAGATACTATATACTATACTGTGGATTACTAATAGTCAAGTGATTTCGTACACTATTTGACATAGAAGCCGAAGGAACCATCATTTAGTAAAAAAAATTGCCTGAAGCAATGCAGTGGTTAATGGGGGGGGGGGGGGGTTGATGAAGTTTAATAGTGGCTATTAAGTAGGCCTTACCTCCTGGTAGACATTTGTTTAATAGATTAAAATGTATTGTAAACATTATTATGAATTATTTCAGCGTTGCCTTATTTTCTTCAGTTCTTTTATAGGCAATCACCTTGTTATCTCATAATCATTATGCCTTTCTAAGATGGTCTAGAAACGCCGTAGAGCAAGATTTGTTAGGTTCACTGTGTGAGTTCCTAGCAACGAAATATTCCATCGTGTTGTACTGTAATAAAACACCCCAGCTTTGATTTTTTTTGCACACAAGACGCAAAAAATCAGAGGCAATATCGATAATGGATCAGTCAGGAATAGGAAAATTCAGTGCAAATAAAAGTCATAGTGATGAAAATGGGCAATCATGATAATGACAATGGGTGATTAAATGTTGACGTCCATGATGGCATTGGGTGGTGATGACGATGATCTCAATCGATAAAGTTTGTGACTGTGGGTAATTACAATAGATAAAAATGACAATTGGCGATGGCAATGGATAATGGAAATGACAATGGGTGATCATGATGAAAACAGAAATAATGACAATGAGTGATGACAGTAGGTAACAATGTGTATTAATAGCAATAGGTGATTATGATGCAATAAGTGATGATCACAATGGTATTAATGACAATACAACAAAATTATGATGAAAACGGTTCAAGATTATGACAATGGGTGATGATATGATGATATCGATAACAAGGAAAAAAATTAATGACAATAAAGAGAATGGGAAATGATGATGGTAACAATATCCAATAACATGAAAATGACGATGACAATGGCAAATGACGATGACAATGGCTAATGATGATGACAAAGGCTAACAACGAAGATCATAAGTTCACATAAAATTTATAACAATATACGAATGATAACATACGTTTTCTTCTTGGTTTAACAGAGGGTGGAGATGGTGTTGGTATTGTAGGCGATTGAATACCCGACAGAGAAAAACCACCCGATTTACGTCTCTCATAGATCGGCCTCTCATTCCTCCAGTATTCCAAAGGTTTCACGCGATGTCTTTTGGTTCGGCGTACGCCATCTTCAATCATTTCAGGAGGATCAACTACAGAAAAAAAAAAATAAATAAAAAAAAAAAAATTATAACAATACCATTCCAATGTAAAGAACAATGGAATATATCCATTTGTAAGGATGTCAATAATTATAGTTCAAAAAATGATCTTACAGGTTTTACAGTCACTAAAAGTGTTTTAAATATTTTTATCATTATCCAATATAAAAAATTCAATAGCTTCTATACTATGTAAGTTGACAATTTGTATGTTCTAAAATTGACAAAAAACTCAAACTGAAATGCATTTTGCAAATAAACTGTAATCAACATCATCCAAATTTTGGTCCTGAATTCGCCAGTTACAGTAAGAGTGAAGGATTTTGGTTGAGATACTTCAAACAAAGACATAATAACAAACAAAACTTACTGATGTATGCTTTTTTCCTCGGCACCTCAAAAAACTTCATTGTCAAATTAGCATTGTTTTCTACATTACTGTCACCAGTTTTTCTTTGTCCCCCACTTTTCAAAATGGATTTGATTGGTGTACCTTTATAAAACAATTGAATATATAGTACATATTCTTAAAGCAAAAGAAACTAAAAACTAAGACAAGGTATTATAGTATTACTTACTGTAACTAATTTTAATGTTTTATTTAAATAAAGATATCAAAAGTAACTAATTATATAACTGGGAAAATATTTTAATAAAGATGAATTGAAATTTAATAACATATTTTCCAGATATTATTTATGAAAATATGTGGAATATTTTCTCTAGTTGTTGTAGTGGTATTATTATAATAATAATAATATTAATAATAATAATAATAATATTAACAATAATAATGTATTGCTTAAAGGTTTGCATGGCGAAGAAATAATATATATGTGGAAGCTTGCGGTACACCACGTAAGTAGTTCTGAAAAGAACTGTTGTAGTTGAGAAAGTCTCGACGTTTCGATTGAGATGCTTCAATCGTCTTAACAATAATAATACTAATGATGATGAAATCTCTACAAATTGCACTGTAAACCATTGCTCATCGGAAATAAATTTCAACGATTTTACAATATTTTCAAGCTCAAGTTTTTCCCCTGACCAATACAAAGCTGCTTTGTCATCTGAGGCAGGAGAGCTCAAAATGCACGGGCAAATTGTTATTTGTTATTGAGCCTAGCTACTGCTTGCTACACCTGTATGTTGGACATATAATACAGCCTGCTAAAGCCTGAATGATCAACATTTACACAGGCCTTCACAGTCATCCGTAAGTTACACACATACACCATTTGTATCCCTCTCGATTTTAATAAACTAGGAATTATTAAGCAGTACATGTGCTGGCTCACGGATAAGATATTACAGTAATCACTTTGCAAGCTTTCATGCCAGCATTGGACTAGTACTTGCAGGTGATATGCATCCAAATCCTGGTCCAGTTGGAGTTTCCACTTCAACTACATTGTCGGCCTCTAACAATAAACCTCTAACCCTTATTGTACAAAATGCAAGAAGTATACGTATGAGGGACCATCTTCTCAAATGTGACCCAAGCTCAAAAACAGGCTGTAAACTCATCCTCAGGCCAAAACGAGTTTTTGCTATAATGATATAGACCATATCATTTACTTTAAAATGACAGTTAAATGAACTCAATCGGGTGTCTGCAGGCAAAGTTATGACAGTTTGAATAATTGTCATCTTATCAACTTTCTTAAATCAAGTTTTGAGAAAAAGGCTTTTATTTTCGGCAGGTTTCTATTCATTTTTCACTTAGCTCCCATCTGAAAATGGCTAAGTTTTACCTCTTACAGTTGGAATTTTTAAACTCAAACTTCAGGAATAGTAAGATTAAATGTTATACTTTATTTATTACACAAAAACACAAAATTCACATTCTACAGGCTAGTCTGGCTATGGAGGCTTGTTTCTCAATACAGTGCGGTGCGAGTTTACAGCCCTTTTGTGAGCTTGGGTCAGAAATTTGAAGCTTGAACACATTCTTATGACATAATCGGAATCACTGAAACATGGCTTGACAGCTCATTTACGGATGCAGAATTGTCAAAGACCTGTAATATATTCAGATAAGAGAGGATAGACAAATGCCGTTTCACATGTCTTCAGAGGTCCGATCTTCAGTATCCTGACCTTGTAAAGATTACTTTTGAAGTTTTCCAGACCTCTGGCAATATTTTTCTCATCCTAAAATACTTGAACATTTTGTAGTAGACGCCATCAACACCCATGTTCAACAGCACCTTTATCATCTTCAGTGCGGCTTCAGACAAAAAAGGTCATGTACCACTCAACTACTTTAAATTTATCACGATATGGCAAATAATTTAAACACTAATTCCCAACAGATCTCCATCTACAGTTGTGATTTACCTGGACTTCAGAAAGTCCCACACCCACTTCTTCTCCATAAAATCAGCCAATTCGGCATACAAGGGAATCTTCTCTCGTGTGGCTGCACAATTATTTCGGCATCCGTCTCCAGAGGGTAGTGGTAGTGGGAGAATCTTCTTCATGGCTACCCATGTTGTCTGGTGTGCTGCAGGGATCTCTAGTTAACACTACACTTTTTCTACATAAATGACCTACACAAATTTGTCTCACCTGATGCTACGTTAGCCCTTTATGCAGATGATACCAAATATGTACAGTACAGGGCAATTAAAACCATTAACGATTGTATAATCTTAAACAATGATCTCCTGGCATTGTCCAACTGGACGAAGACTTGGAAATTTGAATTTAACCTTAAAAAATGTAAATCCATGCAAATACACGGCTCCAGACAATCAATGAAACTTCCTTTCAATTATAATATTCATAACACACAACTTGAACTTGGAATTACTTTTACAGATACATTATCATTCAAACCTTGCATTTTAAAAATCTGCCTTAAGGTCAATAGAATGCTAGTGGTCTGACTCTTTTTTTAAACGATGAGGGAGAGGGGAATTAATTTTGATATTGATACTCTTTCTTTCACGTCCTACTCATTGTTATACATCTTATTTCTCTCAAGCTGATAATTACTGTTTTCGTACTTGTACCTGTTCCAGGACCAGCGATTTATGAACTTTCATGTCTGTGCTGGTTCCGCTCTGTCCTACCATGTCAATGTTGTATTTTTTTTTCATAAGTAGAGGTAGAGAAATTGAATAAAGTAAAGAAAGAAAATCATGAAGGCTGTTTATAATTTCCAAAAATTAATTATTTAATTAGAAAAACAATTTCAAAAAACCTGCTTGAAAAATGATTCTCCTTTTTTTCTGTTCAACACACTGCATATGGCAATAACTTTTATAGGAAAATGCTTCAAAAAATGAAAATATTGTTCTGGTTTCTGTTCAGTAAACTGCGTATATTCCGATGGCGTTTTTTGTCAGGAAAAATGATACTTACTTTATCTTTTTATTAAGCCCTGCCAAGACTATCAAATTTGATTTGACAAAAACATGTGACATGCCTAAATATGGTCATGATGACATCACATCATGACCATATATAGGCACATCATGAGTATATATGGGCATACAACAGATTTTTTGTACCAAAGAAACCTTAATAGTGATGACAAAGAGCTTCAGTCACAACATGCACATTGGTTGACTGGTGGATTAAATTCCATGTGTATTTCACAATTATTCAAAAACTGAAGGCTAAAAAAAATCAACACAGAACACATCTTTGGTTGTCAAAGCTTGCTTTTTCAGTAATAACTTGTGATAAAAAAAAACCAATGATCTTACTGTCAGAGGGCACTCTTGCCGGGGTAAAACTCCTTGACACATCGTCTACGCCAAATTGAGAATGAGTCAATAGATCGGTTTGGTCAAAGTTTCCTGTAAAAAAAAAAAACTCTTCATTGTGAACACAACTGATTTTCGAATCGCCAATTATAGGAGGCAATAAGTATACATCAGATTTGCCAGGTTAACGATAGGAAAAAAAACAAGAAGTGTTTGGTGCAGCATGTAAAGCACTGGGCTTTCAATCGGGAGGTCAGGCAGACCGATGCTTGTCACACTGCCTGCATCTTTGGACAAGACACTTTTATGGTGAATGATTGGGAATGAAGTAGTAGTTCAGATTACACCCATAGACTTGGAATACTCAGAAATAAGAGAGGTTACATGTTGTGTATGATTGATTCTGTATACAATGACCAGGGGAAAAAAGCGCCTTTAGCAGTTATTCCATAATAGGACATGTGCGCTTTATGTGAATCTTGGAAAAATAATGAAGAACGATCATCTTACTTTTTCGTTGTGAATTTCCACTTCTGGGTTCCTTTATCAATTCTCCTTCCTCTGAACTTACAGCTGTTGATGATGATGAGGCTTTTCCACCACCTCTATTTTTCTGCCGTGTATTTGGACTAGGAGACTTCTGTTTAAGTGTTTTTCTTACATGTTTTGCTGTAACAATTAATGATTGATCATTTGAGATTTGCCAAAACCAGCATTGGTGGCAAAAAAATAAAAATTGAATTGATTTTCCATCGACAAAGTTACGATTAAAGTATTACGGCTTCTCTGTAATAAAGTATACAGTACTGCAACATTCTTAAATGCTAACTACTCAGTTTAACAATCAGCAACAATAGGCTGGTTTAAGGATGGCAAGCCTCATTATTTTAAACCTGAAGTACCAAGAAAAATAATTAGGAACGATCATCTTACTTTTTCGTTGTGAATTTCCTCTTCTGGGTTTCTTTATCAATTCTCCTTCCTCTGAACTTACAGCTGTTGATGATGATGAGGCTTTTCCACCACCTCTATTTCTCTGCCGTGTATTTGGACTAGGAGACTTCTGTTTAAGTGCTTTTTTTACATGTTTTGCTGTAACAATTAATGATTGATTATTTAAGACTTGAGAAACTAGCATCGGTGACAAAAAAATGAGAATTGAATTGATTTTCTATCAACAAAGTTACGATTAAAAGTATTACGGCTTCTCTGTACTAAAGTATACAATACTGTAACATTCTTAAATGCTAACAACTCAGTTTAACAATCAGCAACAGTACGCTGGTTTAAGGATGGCAAGCCTCATTATTTAAACCGGAAGTACCAAGAAAAAAACCTTAAACACCAGGTAGTAGATAATCAGGAAAAAACCTTATCACTTACTGGATAAAAGTGAAGCTTGATCACCTCAGCTTTAGTTAGTACAGTTGAACTTGCCTAAGTCGAATCCAACATACCACTGAAATATTGTTCGACTTTAGATAAAATTCGACTAACAGTTTGTTAATTAATAGAAAACACAACAATCTGGCATGTAAAATAAGATCGACTTTAGGAATTATTCGATTTAGGCACAGTCGACCTAGGCAAGTTTAACTGTAGTGCAAAAGATCATGGTTTTGACAAGAATTGTACCCCGGGACACTGGATTGGAGTTAAGAATCTTAACTGCAAAGCTACAGCTTCACTCCATTTAAGGAAATGGGTTACAAAAAGTTAGATTCCATAAAAAGAAAAAAAAAAATCCCTTAAAGCAACCGCAAGGGAAAGGCGCAACATAAATACCCAATACCAGTACCAGTTAAAGATAGTTCTGTGTATAAAACCAATAAACAAAGAGTTCCAATCATTCAACTTAGAAGAAATGAATGCAGGAAGTTCTCCAGTAGTGGAACGTAGGTACTTACAAATTCGCCAAAGGTTGCGAATATACAAAAAAAAGATAAATTTAGCCGGGCACACACTGCGCATACAGTCGTCAGCAGATGCGATTCCATGAAGAACGCACACACGCAACAAATTGTTTTCAATGACGGTCCTTTCAGACTGCCAATGGCAAACAGAACGTCGTCTAAAGCTCACAGGGAGTGGAATTGGATTCATCAGCCGACGGTTGCATGACCGTGTACAATACAGTGGGTGCCCTGCTTTACAAACAGAGGAAACAAAAGGAATAAAGACAAAAATGTCCGCATGACACATAAGAATATGTAAATTTACCTGTTGGCGAGTTTTCTTCATTACCATCTTCTTCGGCACCTGTTTCGAAGATTTCAGCGTTCTTCTTACGCTTGACAGGTTGTTTCTTAGTTGATGGCATGGCATCATTTTCTAAGGCTCTATCCAGATCATCTGCACATTCAGTCTGGTGCAACCCAGATGATTTGGTGATCTGCAGTGGAAAGTCATCATCATCATCATAATCATCAGTTGATGTTGCCTGCGAGGATGCACTGAAGGTTTTACTAGCGACTGATCTCCTAGGACTGGTAGAATGTAACTCCTCATCCAGACTAAACCTCACAGTTGACTTCCGCTGACGATTCTTTTTTTTCACTTGTATTTTATTTTCAGACCCTGTTATCATTGTTGCACTCTTTACTGTACCATCATCGTTTTCCTGCCTCTCAAAAATACTATTTTCTGGATTATACAGCGACTTGCTCCTCTTTTTCCGACCGCCCTTTGTTGCAGGTTCAGTGATTGCATCGCGTATACTATTATTTAAGGACTTAGCAGTGCTGCGTCTGTGTATTGATGTTTCAGTGAAACCATCATCTGTAACTTTTAGCTCAATATCATGCTCAATGTCACCAGTACTAGTCTCCTGTAACTGCTTTGATTTGGATTTCTGCCTTGGGCCTCCTTTTGATGAAGACATCAATAGCATAGTATCAACTACTAAGGCATCATGATCGTCATTATCTTCTAACAAATTCTCTGTATCTTCATCAGATGCTTTCTTGCCAGATTTCTTCCTCAAATTTGGTTTAGCCTTTTCTTGCAAAGGTTCCTGTTTTTTCCTGGTCCTTCCTGTCCTCTTTACACTCAATAATGTTTCAACCTCTTTGTCATTAACTTTATCATCCATATTTCCAGTGACCATTTTCGTATGGTTTTTGTGGCCTGAACTTCTCATTAGTTGTTTGGTAATTAATTCCTCTAAGTTCTCCTCATCCCCAACCACCTCTTCAACACTATCACCAATGCCATCCATAATCCTTGTGTCTGTTTTTTTTTTGTTTCTGTTCCTTTTTTTTGGATGGTTGTTATTTACCTCTTTCTCTTGTAACACCTCCTCCTCAACCTCCACATCATCTTCAATATCGTACCATTTTCTCCTTGCCTGTCGGGACGCATTATCTTTCTGTGTCTTATTTGTACTCTTAGCAGTGGTCCTTGTAGTCTTTCCTGTCTCACTGACCAGCTGGTTAGCTTGGGTCTTATTTTTTCTGGTCCCTTTTCCTCTGTTCTTAGTGTTCTTTGTAACTTTTTCACCATCAGATATGCTACCACTCTCACTTCCTGATGTCAAGTTACTCTTCCTTGTACTCTTTGCCAGACTTCCGGATTTTTTGCTGTTTTTATGGCTGTTAGTATACACACCAATGTCAATGTCCACAACATCATCATCTGATGGCACAGAATTGACTACTAAATCATCGTAATCATTGCTTTTCAAGTCATCATCCTTCATTAAATACCTTGTTTCCTCGTCAGATGTTTTCTTGCCGGATTTCTTTCTTTTTTCTGATTTAGCCATTTTTTGTAAAGGCTCTTTTTTTTTTCGCGTTCTTCCCGTTCTCTTTACACTTAAAGTTTTACCATATCTGTCATTCCCATCATCTATATCAGATCGAATTTCATCAACTGTTTTTCCTTTGTCTCTGTAGCCTTCAGATTGTTTTGGCTGGTTGGTACTTAACTCCTCCTCCTCTTCCTTATCATCATCCTCATTTGATTTTCGCCTTCCTGGTGAGTATACATTTTCCTTCTGTGTCCCATTTTTACTCTTTCCGGTGTTCTTTTCATTTTTTGCTGTGTCTGTTTCAGATTCACTCACCAGCTTGCTAGCCTGAGTCTTGTTTGCTCTTGCCACTCTTCTTTTGTTCTTAGTGCTGACTGTGACTTTCTCACCATCAGATATGCCACCACTCTCGCTTCCCGATGTCAGCTTACTCTTCCTTCTACTCTCTGCCAGCCTTCCAGATTTCCTGATTTTATGGCTGTTAGTATACACACCAGTGTCGTTGTCCACCACGTCATCATCATCATCATCATCCAATGACAGGATATCAACAACTAAAGAATCACGACTGTTGTTTTCCAAGTCATTACTTTCCAATAAACTCTCTTTTCCTTCATCAAATGTTTTCTTGCCTGGTTTCTTCCTTATTTCTGATTTAGCCTTTTCTTGTAAAGGAACCTGTTTTTTCCGTGTTCTTCCCGTTTTCTTTGCACTTAAAACTGCTTTACCGTCTCTGTTAATTCCATCACTGATGCCAGATCCAATTTCGTGATCTATATTTTCTGTGACTATTTTTCCTTTGTTTCTGTAGCTTGAGGATTGTTTGGGTTGGCTGGTAGTCAATTCCTCCTCCTCTTTCTCTTCATCATCATCCTTATCACCAATACCCCACATTTGGCTTGCTGGTGAGGATGTATTTCCCTTCTGTGTCCTACTTCTATTCTTAGTACTTTTTGCAGCCTTCGATGTCTTATTAACAGGTTCATTTACCAGCTGGCTGGCCTCTGTAACGTTCTTTCTGGTCCCTCGTCTAGTGCTGAGAGGTTCTTTGTCATTGTGACCATCACAATCACTTTCTGATTTACTATTTTTTGTACTATTCGCCAGACTTTTCCTGCTATTTCCATAGCTTTGAGTATACACAGAAGTGTCAACTTCAACAATATCAAAACCATCATCATCATTGTCTGTATCTAAATCAATATTATCATTTTCAAAGTTTATCTCTGTGCTCTTTACTATTGACTTGTGCTTGAATGAAACAAAACTGCTATACTCCGGACCAGTACCAACATCAGAATTTCCAGTTTCAAGAACGTCACCAGATACTGTATGTGACCTGAAAGCCACGCTCCTCCGACCCCTGTCACTAATAATTTTCTCAGCCTGTGGTGAAGTTTGAAATTTATTGATTTCAACTTGCCCATTATCTTTATCTGCTGATGCCCCAACTCCATTTGCCATACTAGAAATAAGAAAAAGCAAAGCTGGTATAAACTCGATAATTTGTAAATGACTGGGACAAGTTTTAAATGAAAATTAATTTTTTGTATTTGAACCACATTGACCCTAACAATTAAGCTATCAGTGTAAGCTGACAGGAACACTATTAAGAAAATGAAAAAAAATCATTTAACAAGATTTATTAAAATCAAATAAATACATTAAATGATCAATGAGTTAAAATCAATAAACAATAGCCTACAATTAACAAAATTTATAACATACACCGACAAAATAATAAAATAAAATATAAAATATTTGATACAAAAACAGTTATTGAAAATAAAATAAAAACCCTGGAGCCAATCGCTTTAGTAGGATCCCAGGAAGGAAGTATGAAAATGGCTGTTTTAAAGCATAGATAGGTAATACTGTCTGCTCAGAAACAAGGATAAAATTTATGAAATACCTGTCTTTAGGCTCATTTGCTTCATCAGCCACCAATGTGTTGTTCAATTCTTCTCCTGAATTATGGTCTACGTCATGTTGGTGCCTGGCTCCCACATTTGTAATTACTGGTTCAACCTCAACACACTCATTTGCTTCATTGCGAGCTTGTTTTAAATGTTCTTCTGTTGAAAATGTCAATCTGATATTTGAAAAGTAAGAAAAATTTGAATATTACAACGAGATCAAAGGCTGTAGTAATACTTAATTTTTTTAGCAATAATCCTATGCATGTTTCCTAGTAGCCCTTATTGTGCAATGGATGCCTGCAGGCACTGTTTTATCGCTAAGTTAAATGGCTTGTTGGATTTTCAGGTCTTTTCAACAAATCCTGATTCGGGGCACATATTTGGATACGGTGCTTTTTATCTCATAAATCGTAAGTATGAACGAACACAAAGTGCTATTTAATCTCAATATTACAATGAGATTAAATAACACTTTGGCTGCAAAAATTGTCTTTGGTCAAACAAAAAATAGATAAACAGTTTATTCACATAAAAATACATCTTTGAGGCAAAGCTAAATTGCAATGGTATTAACAAAAGTTAAATATATAAAAAAAGAACAACATGCAAAAGGTCACAGAAATGGACAAAACATCAAATTACTGTAGATTTTGAAAAATAATACATTTAATTTAAAAGACATAAAAATTCAATTACACTTTATTATAAAATTATTATTTCATCAATACTATTTACAAAAAATACAATTATTAATTCAAATCAAGACTATAAAAACATTAAATTGACTTTAGATATCAGTTGCACATAAAAATTAAAAGAATGTCAGAATATCAAACTTAAATAGTATTTCAATATTCAAGAAATTTGATTGCCAATGATGGAATGTCTGTGGTTCACTCAATGCCATAGCCAGGATTTTCAAACAGTGCTGGACAATATCAGGGTGGACCCACTTTCACAAACAGCATATTTGAGGAAAAACTTGAAAGTGTGTTTAATGAGATACAGATTTTTGAATATTTAAAAGCTGGGGGAGAAAGGTAGGGAAAAGCATGGGTAAACCCCCCTTTTCTCTGGTTTTTAAATATTCAAATTTCTGTATCTCATTAACTACTTCTGATTTTCTTCATCAAAAAATGCTTTTTGTGTCTTAGAAAAATCAGTTCTACAACACATTAAAACATTTATTCCTCCGGAGGCTTTAATCAATAAAAAAAACAAAAAAAACAAAACAAAAAAAAACCCTGGGATGAATGAGTGTGGATACCTTTCAAAAGTGAAGATAACATGTTTGGAATTATAATGACAGTATAGAAATCCTTCAAGCAAAAACAGTTAAACGGACTGTACAATAGGATTTTTCATTTATTTTCTCGGGCTGCAACATTGTCATCGGGTTGCATGTAGTCCTTGGGCTGCACTTTGCCCACCTTTGCTTTTATCTTACCTCTTTTTCGTTTTAAAACTCTGCAATGCACTATTTGGAGCTTTGCTTGTATCTATGATTGACAAACTACCATTAGGGTCGCCCTCTCGTACAGCATCTGGTGACGCATGTTGCGCAGTATTTTCTTTGGTGGTAATAGCGCTGTTATCAGCATTACTGGATTTCGTACTTAAACCACCAGACGAAAATGAGGACATTGGCTTCAACAGTAAACTCTGCAGAAAAAATTAAATCACTGAATAAATTATTCCGTCGAATGATTTAACTAAAATAGTTTAGATTCAAAATTAATTAATCAACATTTTAATATTCTACGACGCAACTGCCATCAACGCAAACCATTGCATTTGCATTTAACTCACGCAGACCTGGAGAGACAACAAATCCCATCGAGCTGTGTCGTGCAACGCTGTCTGAGTTGGCCTTAAGACATGTGTATGATGCCACAAATAAACAAAGAAACCATTTAATCAATTAACTCTGGTTTCTGAATCAATAAAGTTCTATATGACAAATTTGTGTTTTTCCTGATGACGACATAATTAATGTCAAAATATTAAATCCCGACACAATGGTGTGCATTTCGATACTTGGAGTATGTATTATACTATCAAATTTGTGTAGTGTGTTCATAATTATATATGGGCATAATGATGTCATATTACACCCATATAAGGGCATGAAGATATCATACCACACACAAATATGGCAGCAGCAAAAATAACAATATGAAATGGCTGAGTGTTACCTTTCTTTTATTACTAGGAGTTGAGATTGTCTTCCTTTTGGTTGATATGATTGATCTGACTGTTGAATCTGCAGAGATTGAACTTTGATCTAAAAAGAAAACCGTTTCCCTAAATATATAGTTCTATATTTGAAATTAGAGTAGATTGGCTCAGTCAGCTGAACTGGTGGTACACTAAACTGTCCCTATCTGTATAGCCTTGGTATCCCATTCAACTTTATCTGCTGCTCATTATTTCAAGTATACCTAAATAGATCTGATGATGACATAATTAATGTCGAAATATTGAATCCCAACACGATGGCGTGTATTTCAATACTTGGAGTATGTATTATACTTTCCTAAATAGATCTTTGTCATTGATTGGTGGATTTCATATTATGTGTCATATCATTAAAATTTAGTTCCATCCGTCCATTTTTGGTTCCATTCGTTTTGTCCCATTACACGCCTCCACCTAATTTCATTTCATTTAATTATTTCCATAAACCTCCCGAAGGAGAAGCAAGTTTGTACAATATGAATAAAATACAACATAAAGGCAAAATGCTTAAATAGGCAATAATAATAATACAATGTTTCACTGGTTGTAAGATGGACTGCTCTATTCTAAGGAAATTAACTTTTTTTTAATAAAAAATCAAATGACAAGTATCTATTTTAGTCGTGTTGTAAGAAAATATTCTTCCCATTGCACTCATAAACATCATTTGTATAATAATATCAACTAATAGCTTTTTCACGACTACACCATTTAAATGTTGGAAGGAATAGACATGTGCTGTACCTGATGAATCAGACCAATAGTCATCAAAAATCTCAAATCCATCACTGTCTTTTCTAGCCTCTTTCTTAAGCTCCCATCCAGTTCTCCTGTAAAGCATACATGTGCATAAAATGTGATATTAATAAACAAAAATATATTTTGTAACTACAGCTACTGGAAGAAGACTATAGCCTGGTTCTCACGAGAGCCCTAGTATCCGGATCCGGAGCTAACCGTTAGCGCTAACCGTTAGCACCTGTGTGAGAACGCCCGATCCGTTAACGCTAACTGTTAGTGGTATCCGGATACCGCTAATGGTTAGCAAGCGCTATCGGTTAGCAAGTGAGCGCGTTTCTATCATCAACCAATCACACGTACGCGTTTACAATTTCCAGTTTCTTATTGGCCAGTGATTCGATCATCATATTCTTGGTATCCGGATTGGGATTTTCTCGTACGGACGCACGGCAGCTAACGGTTAGCAGGATCCGGATCCTGCTAACCGTTAGCTGCCGTGTGAAAACATAGCCATAAAGCAACCTAAAAACAATGGACCTTCCGATAAACCCCATACCTTGGGTATTGTTGTTGTCCCACAAAACAAAAGTGTAAAAGCACACACACATATTGTACTGTACGTGCGTCTGTGGTACAACACGTGTGTATGTAGGACACACACATATTCCTGGCCCGGTTCTCATTGGTTAGTTGTTAAGTTTTTGATTGACACGCCAGAAGGGTCCATTATGAGTGAGAGGTAGGAAAAGATATTATTTTCTTTTATTGGTCAATTCTTAACATTTCTTTCAATCTCAAGTTCCTAGGTTCAAATCCAGTCAAAAACCGTTCTTTTTCCTCTAACATCAGGCACTCATTGCGCCAGACCGTCGTCGGCAGAGCAGATTCTGTGTGGAACGCAATGCGACGATAGCGCATGCAACTGTTCGGTTTTAATGACAATCAGTTACATACTGCCACCTACAATCAGTAGGCCTAGTCTGAGCAGCTAGCTAGTGTCAAATAGAGCGAACACTGGTAACTAAGTAGCGCGAATTGCGTAGGAAGTCCCCCAGTGATAGTTGCCAGGTTATCGAAAGTTTTCATTTCAAAGTTTCTGAAAATGGTCTATAGTAAGCCGCATAAGACTTAAATGTGACAGGCTCCAGTAAAAAACCAGCTGTTTGTAATAATTTCTGATTTCGTACACGTACAACACCCAAAATATTCATCAATCAGAATTTTGAATATTATTGATTTTTTGCATTTTATAAAAGAAGGTATAATTGGAAAGCATTTCTGCAAAATAGCAATCACTAAATCTAACTGAAAAGTATATTAAAATTATTTTAAAAATACAAATCATAATAATAAACTATTGAATTTGGAATCTTTGGAAGCTACAGTATTTTATCAAAACTTCATGGCTGATATCTATAACGAGCTAAATATTTATAACTTCACTATTAAATAGTAATACTCAATGAATTTCCATCAAATAAACACTGTTTTAAAGAAGAATTTATGCAGAATCTGAAAACACAAAAACCCACTTTTTAATAATTTCTGACAAACAGCTGGTTTTGCCAGAGCCATTTATAAAACATACACTAGTAGCTTGTTATTGTTAAGATCCCCATTATATATAATATATAAAAATACATACCTTCCAGGCCCTTCATTTAAAAGTGGAATAACAAATCTTTGATTGTCCTGAAAATACAAAAAGGGTAAATACACACAAATTATTCAAGATGTGATTGTCCAATACAAAATACCCAAAAAAAAAAAATCATCATAAAAATCCTTTTTTAAATTAACTTACACATTTTTAAGTGCTGTAACATACACATATCAACTTGAACATAGAAATCAGTGAATTTAAAAAAATCTTTACCCATAATTGTACAGTACAGTGAAAATTATAGAAAAAAAAAAACCTTCCAGTCAATGGAAATATCTTATTATTGTATTATGATCATCAAGTTTAAAAGTATTTTTTAAATTCCATAATTTCTATTCTCAAATTAATAATTTGTATTGTTACTGCTGTTAATTTCAAAATTATTTCTTATTATATTTTGTAATTTTCGTGGGATAATACATCTTTAACGTAGAACAGTGTCTACAGTCTTGTTGTCTACAATTCAAATATAAAATAATCAACATATTGCGCATATATAAAAATCTAAAACATTGGCAAGATATGAGTAGGTCTACAGTACTTAATGGTTTAAAAAAAAATTGTTTAGTTAAGTTTAAAGCCAGGCTCTGAAGGACCAGACTCTTTGTACAACTGATTTTTCTGAGACACAAAACCATATTTTACAAAAAACTTAGCGTTTAAACCACACTTTTTTTTTCACCTTTTCCCCCCAGTTCGGGTTCCATTCACATATTCAATGGCAAATTGTGACAATGAACATGCAAGAGCACACGCGACCACTTAGATTCTACTAAGTGTGTGGTAAGGCTGCGTTGCTTTGGTCAGGGAAGAGAAATGTTCTCGTTGAATTGATTCTCGAATGAGATAACGAAAGCTCTTTAATGACTTAAGCTACTGCATGACCTTTTTCATATTTTTACAAAAACCAATTTCTTTTATTTTTTAATACATTTTCCCCTAATTTTGTGATAATTTGTTATCACGTATAGATATGATAAATGCGTGGCAAACTTCTGATCGGGCATGTGTTTCTGCAAAATGTGTGTTTCATCTAAAATCATTTTGAAATGCGGGACAGTCCCGCACGATGCGAGGCAGTTGGTAAATATGAGTGAAGCTCAGAGAATTTGTACTTGGGATTGAACTTGGTCATTAATTAAATAATATAAACAAAAAAGTGATTACCATCATGATTAATCATTGCAAAGATCCAATTTAAAACATCACTATTAACAAGTTGTAAAATGCTACAACCTGTTTTTTTTTTTGACAATGTTTTTTCCAATGAGGTGAATTCAGATTCAGTTAGACAGCATTGCCATCACAGGTTTTTACGTAGAACTTCTTTTTAAAGATAGTCATGGAGCGGAAAAAAAATTAAATAAAATTTTGTTTTTCTATTTACAAATAGTTTTACCAAAAACATCCAGACAGAGGAGAAAATAAAATATAAAATGCTACTTGTAACTATAAGCAGTTAATGTGGTGGTTTAATGCTTTAAATTTATGTATTATTTGGAAGAAATATACATACATCAGGGTTCTCACCAGAATTTTGGAGTGGTGGTCGGTGACAGTAGGCCTAATCATAATTTAACACCTATTTACAAACAACAAACCTCTGTGGTTCTTGCGACCCATTTCGGGGTTTCCCCATGTGCATTGATTTCACGTCGATTCGATGGTGTGTTGCTCAATAAAAAGCAACAATACTACGCCTAGGCCTTGCAAGTTAACGTTACCACAGAGACGTTAATTGATATCTTTTGTCTTATCTAATGTAGCAAGCATGTCCATTGTCTAGACAATAAGTTGTTAATCAACAACTCTCTACTTTAGTAATCGTGTATTAACAAACGTATTTTGTTAGCCTACGTTTTTTTCCCACTATCAATTGGGACCATAAAAAAGAGAAAAAAAATTATTTTCAACGGACGGTAGGAAAGGGGTTGGGTGGGGTCGGGTGTGGTCAGAGGTGGGAGTGAGGGTCAGGGTAAGGGTCAGAACACCCCTACATATGCCACTGCTTTTGTTCTCCTTGTGTGCTTTCAAATGTCTTATTCATTGAGGCATGTAACAATGTTTAAAGACTATTATGACATATTATAATTAATTATTTGTAATTAATTAATTAATTAAATTGTTATTTAATTAATAAATTATTAAATTTTAATGAGTTTTATAATTCTTCTTTTGTCCATTTTGTGTGCTTCCAAATGCTTTTTATTTTATTGAGAAATGTATAGAAACAAAAAAGTTATAGCATTTTTTGTACGGTTTTCAAGAACAAGGTCACAGACATACTTGCTTCTCCATTGTTTAAATTTGAAGGACCAAAATTAGGCATAATTAATAATCTCTTAAATTCTGTAACTTTGCTGATATTTGACGGATGACAATGATCTTGGTATCAATTTAATTCTATAATTAATAGAATACTCTTTCAAATGATACCAGCTGCAAAGGAATTGCTTGAATTTGAAATTTTTTGTCACATACCTATCTCTAGACTATAATAAAAATAGAAAAATTAGTCTAGGCTCTAGGGTAGACAAAGCGGCTACGCCGGCCTAGCCTATATAGTCGCTAATGCACTTTAGTGGCTTACTTAGGCAGCAGGCCTAGAGGCCTAGCCTAGCTAGGGGTCTATCCTACTCCTTATGCAGCCTAGCTAGGGCCAGGCGTAACGCCTCTTGTTAGCTTGAGGGCCTAGGAAACCACAAACTGATATATTAATTTATCAGTTATTTAATAAGAGTATGAAACTATACTAGAACCTTATAATTGATTGGCATCTTGTGTTTGTTAGTAGTTCTTCAATCAGAAATAACAAGAAATCTTGGTTCTGTTTACACCAGCTACATTTGAAAAGCCGCCATTTTTGTTTTTGACCTTAGGTCATTTGCCAAATAATATTATCATAGGTTTTGTCAAATATCCTCTCAAACAAGTAATCGTATTATAAAAAAAAAGATTTAGAAAAATAAAAATAGATTGAAGTATATTAAAAAATAAATTACAGATAAGGCCTAGGCCTAGTAAAATATATAATTTAAGGATTTAATGCCGAAATTTGAGTTTATTTGAGTGCTGTTCGCTCGAGTGTGAGACGCGACGATCGAGATATCAGTTTCTCCACCACCAACCAACAGGAAGGTTTGGTTGGCTTGATCAAAGATGAGTGCCGTGTTTGGATCTTCCAGACGCCAATTGGCAAGAATAAGATGTCTTAAACAGTCCGTTAAATGTCTAAAGGATAGTGAACCTTTACCAGAGGCGCTTTGCTATGTGCCAGGTTGTTTGGAATATAAATACCCAAACGCGAGTGATTCGAACGGTCGGGTTACCGTTTACAGCAAAACAGACAGGAAATCAAAATGTGGCGAAATCGTATTTTCTAGAGAAACCACTATCTTTGCCAGTGGTGAAGAATCCTGCAATTCAGACGGACTGTGGATAAGACTTACAAATGTACGAAATATAAGAGTGTATTTTTATTGCCTTTGATAAAAATTTCGGTTTTAAATACTGCAATGTGTCTCGTTGGCCACCCTACTACTTTAGTACTACTAGGGCCGGCCTAGCTTGGCCTAGCCTAGGCCTACCTGCCTAGGTCCTAGGCCTAGCCTACACTAGGGCCTACTTAGGTCCTAGTCTAGACCTGCTCTAGCTAGGCATAGGCCTACTAGTACTTTAGGCCTAGGTCTAGCCTAGCGCCGGTAGCAGGTCAAAACAGCAAAAAACCAAAACGGCAATGACCAAAACGGCAATGAATGCCCTAGGAATCCTAGGCCTACTGTACCATCCAAAACTAGGCCTATGAAAGAAGCTAAATACCACTGTATAGATTGGGGATTCAAACATTACAAATAGGCCTAAGTCGTAATTTCCATATCATATCGGTGACTGACTCGGGCAGAACCCTTATAATTTCACACTAGCACTTAAAAAAATATTAGGGAATCAGAATTTTGAACAATTTCAGGTTTTTGCATTTGAAGAACATTTCTATAAAATATCAATTTATTTATTTTTTATTTACAATTTATTTAACCAAAATAAAATGACATTCAATGAAGAAAGCAACTACAAAGAGGTAATAAACTTTAATAACTACATTGTTATTAACCGTGGTCCTGGACTAAGTCTAACTGAAAAGTATATTAAAATTATTTTAAAATTAAAAATCCTAATAATTAAAGTATTGACTTTGGAATCTGTTTTCTCAAAACCTACATGGCTGATATTCAATAAATTAAATATTCTTAACTTGGCTAAATACTCAACCAATTTCCATCAAATAAACACTGTGAAGTCTTAAATTATTCATACAGAATCTAAAATTACCAAAAACTTAATTTTGAATATTTCTGACAAATGGCAGGTTTTTCCAGAGCTTACATTTAACATTTACTGTATCATATATTTCATTTATTATTGACTTTTTTCTACCAGATCTACTAAATATCTGTATGAACTTGATTGTAAACAGAATGTTAATTCCTATGTATATGATTTCCTCATAGCTTTCAATATTCTGTTTTTTCTTATTGAACAGATTACTGTACATTTTCCCTAATGAATCTATGGCTTGTTCTTGAATTCATGTAATTAGGGCTAAATGTGATATTTATTATTTTATTGGAGACAGAAATTCATTTCCTCTGGATTTCTTTTGTGTCATTTATTTATTTATAGACCATTTTTAACCAATTGTTACTTGGTTATTTTGTTAACCTAGGTAATAATAACAATCCAGTCCCGGTCTCCCCATTTTTCACATTTTTTTTTGCTTTTGTTATTTTTGCTGTATAAATAATGTAGTGAAAGAGATTGAATATAGTTCATATTTAGTACACCACACTATTATTGTTAGATTTCATGAAGAAATTCCTTTGAATGACTTGCCATTTTTGTATGGGAAACCAGATGAAACTATTTACTATTTTCTGAAAAATTTTTCTCTGTTGTTATGACCCAAGGAGATTGTTACAAATTTTTCTTTTGCCTTTGAATATATATATTTTATATAATGTGAATTTGCTGATGGCAAACTTGTTTGTATATTTTTTAAATGATGGTAGGGTTTATAATATTATGGATATATGTAATTTGGGTGCATATACACTAGCTTTTTGACCATTGGCAAACCATTTCTTGGTACTTCAGAATAAACCAAACTATATTAACTTGAAATAAGATGGATTCATTACTTATTAATTACTTATAATTACATGATATAACCATATATTTTGTACAATAATTGTTGTTACTGAATTGTATTTTTGATACCTATTTATGTTTTGTTTCTTCTTAATGTTATTTTCAATATGTTAGGTTTCATTCTTCACTCCTGAAGATGAATTGAATAGACGTTTCCGCTATTAGTATTAGCCTGTCCCTTGTTGTTAATGTTCCACAAAACAGTAACGCAAACATGTGCGTTTGTTGGACAACACGCGTACTTGTTAGGCATGCACATATTTCTAGCCCTGGGTCTGATTGGTCAGTTGTTAAGTTTGATTGGCACTCTCGAGAAAGGTCATGTGGATGACCTTGGTGTGCTTTAAGCTTTGTCGCAGCAGGGTTTTTGTTTTTTGTTTTAAAAAACGACTCCACTCCCTGAGCCCAAAAAAATAGAATTATTTTATTAATGTATTATTACTGTTATTGGCAAGTTATGTTTGTTGGATGTGATCGAAAAAGAAAAAAAGTTACCTGAACTAGTGTTAGGTTCCATGATAATTGGATATAGGCGAGATCTAATAATAATATGTCGTTCTTATATAGCGCTTAATGCCTTAACAAAGCCTCTAAGCGCTTCACATTATTACCCCGGTCATTGGATCAAACACATATGAAACACATTGAACACTAAATGAAATTATTAAATTATATCTCCATAATATTGCGGCTAGTAATCAGTGCAGTGTTGGAACCTACCAGGAACCCACTTGTACTCCTGGGTGGAGAGAGGTAACCATAGATAAAGTGCCTTGCCCAAGGACACAAGCGATTTGCACAGCGAGAGTTTCGAACCCCCGACCTCGAGGTTGGGAGTCCCAAGCAACAACCAATGCGCCAACCACTTCTACAAAAAATCTCCTCTGCCAAGAAGATTATGTATTCATCACCCTGTCTGATATCAGGATTGCACTCACTAAAGAATGGATCATAAAATTTAGTGGACTGGTTCATGAAAATCAGAAAAAGATGACTAACTTTTGGTAAGAAAAGGTCAATGGTCAAGGTCACATGAGTTTGATCTCTCCCCACCAATGGTATCACCATTTTTTCAGGCGCAGGGTGTAGGTATGCACACTATGGTGTATATTGCTCTAAATAAATTGATGTTTTTTTTTTTTTTCTCAGAAATCATTTAGGGAACATATTAAAGGAAAAGAGAACGTGAAAGAAGGATGGATTCTTCTGTATGAATTGAAAGCTGGTGCCGAGATGGCAAACGTCCTATTACCTGTCGTGCCAGAGAATTCGACAGCTGCCGAGCAGAGAGTGAAAGGGAAGCAAGTTCATCCACTTTGCAGGTAAGAGATTTAAAGGTTTAAATAAAAGCAAGAATCGGGTAGGAAAATATTGTTATGATTAAAAAAAAAGGAATGTTCGACAAGAAACTTCGGAATGGTTACAGATTTTTGAATATTAAAAACTGCGGGAAAAGGGGTGTAACCACCTCTTTGTCACCTTTTCTCCCAATTAGCAGGTGGGTGGGGGGGGGGTGGTGGGGAGTGACAGGGGAAGCACACCACCTAGATACACCACTGTTTACAACTAAATTGTTGGCAGCTAGTTGCATGCTGTAACAGTTTTTTATTAAAATGAATAATTTTTTTCTACAGCTGGGAGCAAATCTTGGAATATACTTACAGTTTAAAAGTAGGCACACCACCAGTCATCGTTGAAGCTGATTCAGCAGCCGTCGAACGATTGTGCAGAGCCCCGCAGAATTGGACGATAGAAAACGACGAGGAACTTGCGAAATTCCTTGCAGAACACATGGAAACCCACAATGAAAAACTTGGCAGTGTCAAGCAGTTTGTGGAGTCTGTTGATGTTTCATCAACATGTGTAAGTCTAAAAAAAATACTATCTACTGATTTTAATTATTTTGATGTGTGTGTTTTACCCTACCTGATGTGTTATCGTACTGAATAATCAGTACATTCCCAGACACTTGCGAAAAAAAGTCTTGCATTGCAGTACCCACTGCTACATGGGAATCGGATATCTACACTAGATGCAAGCTCAGTGGTCTAGTGGTTGAGATACCAGGCTAATTGTCTGGAGGTTTCGGGTTCTATTACCACCCAAATCGCTCGCAAAGATTTTTTTTCGCAAGTATTTGTTGAATTTGCCTAGTATTTAGTACTGTATGATAACACATCAGGTAGGGCAAACATAACTCCTATGACTTTAATTAATTATAATATTATTCATCTCTCAAGTGATAGGGATATTTGAATATTTTTAAAATATAATAATATATACTTATAATATATTGCCAATACTGCATTTTAACAATTTGTATTCGCTATTTATGTTCTTCTTGTATGTTGCATCTTTACTTCAGAAATGTTATGGTACTGATAAATAGTTTTCTGTAGTTTCAGTATTAAATATTATTAATTTAATTGTCTGTACCTTACTTCAACATTTATTTTTTAACTATTGTGATCTTTGCTGTTAATTGTAATGGAAATATTTTCTTTTCCTAATTTTCAATTAAAGCATACTAATATAATACCTAAACATACAAAGTGCAATTTTAATATTGATTTTTTTCCTCATTTGAAAAAAAAATATTGTTTATTATGGTAGTCCAGTACACATCTTGAATTGATACCAGAATTAATTAATTTATTTATTTCGGTATTAAAAAAACAACAACAACTGCAAAGCATTTGCACAAAGCTAAAATGTTTGCATAACAATAGGCCTGACTGTTTATAGAATATAAACAAGGATCCCCAAACAGAATAAAATAAGCAAAATGACAAACCTAACTGAAATACACATTAAGAATTTAAGTATATAAGAATATGAAGATACTAAAGGGATGGATAGAAATCTATTACAACATTATCAATCTTTGTTTCATTGAAGAGGTTTTTGCAGCATATTTTCATGAGACGTAATAATTCCATCTAATTACCACCTCAGAGCATTTATTGTCTGTCTCTTATACACATCTAGATGTGTATAAGAGACAGCTTCTGTATGAATTGAAAGCTGGTGCCGAGATGGCAAACGTCCTATTACCTGTCGTGCCAGAGAATTCGACAGCTGCCGAGCAGAGAGTGAAAGGGAAGCAAGTTCATCCACTTTGCAGGTAAGAGATTTAAAGGTTTAAATAAAAGCAAGAATCGGGTAGGAAAATATTGTTATGATTAAAAAAAAAGGAATGTTCGACAAGAAACTTCGGAATGGTTACAGATTTTTGAATATTAAAAACTGCGGGAAAAGGGGTGTAACCACCTCTTTGTCACCTTTTCTCCCAATTAGCAGGTGGGTGGGGGGGGGGTGGTGGGGAGTGACAGGGGAAGCACACCACCTAGATACACCACTGTTTACAACTAAATTGTTGGCAGCTAGTTGCATGCTGTAACAGTTTTTTATTAAAAAATATACTCAAATAAATGCGCATTAATTTCACTGAAAATGTTGAACTGCAACACATAATTACCTTCAAAATGTGTTATTGTGTAATCATAAAGACTTATTGATCACAACCAGGTTTGAAATTGAATCGGGGGTGCACACTTCCCCCCCCCCTTCGCGTTCTTTTGCCTTTGTTTCTTGTGGCTTCAAAAGCGCCTTGGGACGGTTTTCTGTGGAAGGCGCTATATAAATATACGACCATTGACCATTGAAAATTGTAGTCCTACTGGAGTACAACATTAATAGAATGTGTTTAGAATGATTTTTCTTCCATTAGTTTTGTTTACTGTCATTTAAGGAGAATTTATTTGAGAAAAAAAAATAAACCTCCTGGGGCATTTATTCGAGGGAGGCATTTATTCCAAATGAGGATCACTGGAAGGGGGCTTTTATTCAAAGCGGGCATTTATTTCAATACATATGGTACGTTAAATACCTAATTATCCAAACTGCTTCCTTGGTCTACATGCACTACAGAGTACAGTAAAAGCAGAGAACTATGAAATAATTACATAATTCATTGATCAGAAAACATAATTATAAATCACAACTATTTCAAGGATTAATTAACATACTTTACTCAATTATACACATCTATTTTGGTCTTTAATATTTTTAGGAAATTCAATACCTACCTCAATTATTATTACTATAATGTATTAATAAAAACCCTAAATTAAAAAATAAAATCAATGTAAATTTCTGTGTAAGTAAAATACTGAATGCAAAGGTTTTTTTTTTTTTAATGCATGTGACAGGTATTGATAATGATATGAACATGAAGTCAGCATCATTGAATTGTTATTTCAGTAAATATAAATTATGTATGCCTCGACAATACATGCAACGTTAATAAGCCAATATTGCAAAATATAAATACAGGTTGTTGTAGTTTAGACAACTAAGGAGATGGGGGGTTGGTGGTGGTAGACATATTAAGGGTGGGTGGGTGATGACATTGGTAAATTATAAATAACAAGATTTTATTTTAAAGGATGGCCAAGGAGTGGGTGGAAAGCCATGGAATTAACTCTACTGTACTGTAGACTGGGTGGACAGCTTCAAGGCTCTATGACCCCACCCACCATAACTACATCCCTCATTACATTATAAATATAAGTATCATAATTTTGTATTATTATTGTATAAAAGGAAGAAGATGATGCATCTTGTTTAACTGATGGTGATACATCTACGTACTGGGAAAGTGACGGTTCACAAGGCCAGCACTGGATGAGGCTCCATATGAAGAAAGGAACAATAATTAAGTAAGTCTGTAGTGAAAAAGCTCTTTAGTGGAACTGCACCTATGCATTCTGACCCCAGCATTCTGGGTTCAAATTAGGCAAACTTCATTTATAATAATAAGACCAGGATCATTGTTGACACTGCAACAGTTCCAAGTTCATGTTTCACTGTATTTGTCAAGTATTCAGATATGATACATTGTTTACACAGTATAGTGATGTTATATGAAGAATAATTTTTTGTGGTCTGTACATTCGGTAGTTAACAGGAAAGTCATCGCCAAACTTGACCTTACCGTTTTTTGTTTTTTTATGGTATGGCAAATCAAGAGAAACTGTTTTAAAAATCATTTTTAAGTGTCTTAATTTGACAATGGAAAGTTTAATTCAATGCACGAAACAGCGAAATTAGGCAAAATTATAATGTCTAGTAATAATTTTTTTTTTTTTACTTTTTTTTTAACTTGGAATTCCAGACTTTTGTTGATATTTGATTTCATGTCAATTTGATTGGTTGATTAATTTTAATTAATCTAATTGATTGGTTGATTAATTTTAATTGATCTAATTTGATTGGGTGATTGATATTTTCCTAGGCGACTTTACATAGCAGTTGATGGACAGGATGATAATTATATGCCAAGTCATGTGATAGTGATGGCCGGACAAGATGGATCAAACCTTAAAAAAATCAATGATTGTAACATTGATGTGTAAGTACATTAATTACTCTATGCCCATATATGGTCATGTTGTGATGTAATATGTCATCATGACGATATTAAGACTCAAGAGCATTTCACACGCTTTTTTCAAATAGAATTTAATAGTCTGAACCAGGGGTTTAGCCAGAAAAAGAAATAGGCCGTCCAAAATGGAAGCCAGTGGGCATTGAGCCGATGGGCGGGCCACGCCCATCTTTGGGAATCCCCACCAAATATTGGTACGAAAACAACATACATTCAATCAATAAATGTTGTTTTTATCAAACGTAAATATTATTTAGCTTTAGTTTAATGCAACATTCGATAGATTTGATTAATCTAAAGGATTTGCTAAATGTAGACCAGGCCAAATTAGGCTAGGCCAAGCTGATTAGGCCAAGCCGTCCAAGCCATCACGGTAAAAGTGGCTATCCTAAATAATTGTAGGCCGTCCAAAAGACAGCCGGACGGCTCGCTGGCTGAGCCTATGGTCTGGACTGAGTTACTTACATGTTTTAGATTTGCAATGCAAATGACTGTGCACCTTAAACCTAGTGGTGTTCAAGTAGTAAAGTAGCCATCTTCATACCATGTTGACTGCCTTGTGAAAAATAGTGCCATTCTGTCGTTTGCACCATATTGTGTCCCAAGAGAATGTACTGGGTCATTCCGGCTCAAATCAGCTAGTCCTGTAAAAATATTCTAAAAATACCTTGATATGTCAAAAGAAAGAATCCAAAATTTCAGCTCCAATTTCCAAGCGGTTTTTATGTTATGACCTTTTCAAATTTAGGTACCACGCCCCTTTTTTGATGCCGGTAATGTCTCCTTTAACTTTTTACTGTTTTTACAAAGTTATATTTCCTGAAATAACAAAGATAAAAGTTTAAAATTGTTATATAGACTGAAAATTTGGCCCCTCTTTTTAGAAATACCATTCATATTTGGGTAGCATATTTTATTAGAATGTTATATGCCCCCAAAATTCTCCGAAGCATTTGTGCGAAAATAGATTTTCACCTTTTCGGAGGGCCATATTTTATCAGTCTTAACAGATTTTTGTCGAAGAAAATGTAGTAGTGTGGACTGTAGCTTTAAAATGCTAATGGCGATCACACTCTCGCCTACACCGTAGCTACTTTGAAATTTTGTGCCGGTTTTAATGTTCACCTTATTAATTCTACAGTCTTGCATTTAATCATTATGTATAATTACATGTATTATTATGCGTATTTTTCTCTCCTTCAGTAATTACACTGGTGACTATTGTATCCTGGAGGATATGACTCAGCATTATAAGGTCATTGAGGTTCGAATCAAGGAGTGCAAAGGTCAGTGTGAATCTCTGAATGGTCATGGTTACTATTATTTTTATAGTGATTATTCTACTTAAATATACTTACTGTCAAAGCCCATGCTCTACTTTGACAATGCTGATTTAAATATGAACCTATTTGTAGCTCTTGAAATTTGCCAGCAGGTAAACCAACTAGTCTGACCAGGGGGCCTTGTCTGAACCAAGGGGTTGAATGGGGGGAGATTTTATGGTTTAGAATGGTGAAATTTTTCTTGTCCACAATATTGTATGGAAGAAAAAATTGAACAGGAAAAGAATTAATTATGAATTAAGAATGTTAACAATTAGCCTTTCATATATAGGCAAATTTATGTTTTTATTCCAGTGACTTTAATTAAATGTTACCTGATAACAGAGGGATCCGTGTTTCTCTGAAGGTGGTCCATGCTTATCTGACTCAACTGGCACTACCACTAACACCAAAAAAATGACCACCTAGAAATCCATTTGTTTTAATTTCATCCTCTTTCCACTCCTTTTAAATGATGGCAAGGGACTTATTTTGTGAAGCATTTTCAATGAAATTAGCAAATTAGGCATCTTTTATTTTTTTATCATAGTTTTTAATTATCTGAAGTTTAAATAAAATTAATCACTGGTATTATTTTCATGGTGACTTTTTTTTCCTTTTGATGGTAGATGGTGGGATTGATACCAGAATACATGGTATTAAAATCAAGTCAACAAAAGAAAAAGACCTCGGTTTAAATAAAGATTTGTTTAAGAATTCAGAGCTAGTGAGGTACGTAATCACAAGTTTATTGATTGATCTGTGTTTATGTAAACAATAAGGCCAACTAAGACAGCGTTTTATGACGCTGCTGACACCATTTGTTATCGTGTCGTGTATGTGTGAGTTATTATTCTGACGACAACCTCAAGACTGCAATGCAATGCTGTCTAATTTAGCCTTCATATAAAAAAATTTTTAATTATTGGCATTTAGTCGTTGTATGACGCAAGGTAAGAATACAAGAAACTAACTTGAATAGATGTAATATAATTTATTTCCAGTGAAAAATGCTTATTGTAAGCAGTAAAAACACTTGGCTATCGATGAAGTCAAACAAGATAAAATATTGCAAAGTACTGTTGAGGTAGAAATCTAAATGTAAGAAGTGAATAGCAATAGGAGTACTGTGTTATATTGGGGTAGCATTCCTTACTATATTTGGGATGATACAAAAGATGTGGTAATACTTGACCAATAAGAATTAAGGATGATTGCATGATGTCATTGTTTTAGTTAATAAAAGTGGGAATAAGTTTACCATGGTACATTCCTGACTTTTTAAGTTTCTGGTACCATAAGCAGTGTTTTCCCAACTGAAAAATTTTTACTGGTAAATTTGTCCATAAAAAATTGCAATGCGCACAATGTGAGGTAGGTTACCTCTTTTTAGTTGGGTTAAATGACTTGAAGACACAACAACACATATTCATAGTGTAGATATAGACTGGAATGATGTTAATTTAGTAAGAGGGCCAGCCTGGACTACCTAAGCCTAATCAATAGTTTTTTTTATTTTACAAACTCAAAATTTTTACTGGTTGGTTGGTTATTTTTACCGGTAAAATTGACGGCTAAAACGGCTTCGGGAGAACACTGATAAGGTAACAGGTTGCTGTCCTTAGTTGACCTTATGCTGAATATAGTAATAATATACATAGAGTAAGGTTTACAAATGAAATATAAAAGATTTTGTACAAATTCAATATTGCAGTTTAAATACAAATAGTAGAGACGCTGCAGGCACACAAAATGTTTAAATATAATTTGTTTTTTACTTTCTAAGGAGATAAGGTAAAGGTCAAGGTTTAAACCTGAAGCTCTAGGCTTACAGGCTGAAGTGCCCATCTCTCTTTCTTTGGCATTTGGGCCAGACTGCAAAGCTGTGTGGGGGCGGGGGGCCCCTTGCCACACCTACGCGCTGTAGTCTGTTTTACCTTCCCAGCATATGTCGGTACCCATTTATTTATGGAGAGATACAAACACAGATGAATTGTCTTCCCTAAGGGCACAAGCAACTTACACAGCGCAGGTTTACGAACCCCCAACCTCAAGGTTGAGAATCCGAGCCACAACCATTTTTCCAAATACCTTAACCTTTTTCCATATGAACAAATTCTTAATTTTTGGCTCACAAATGTTTATAATTTGTTTTTTAACTTCCTAAGGAGGTAAAGGTATATTTCTTGGTGAAGGTGTACATAATCTGAGTAAAAGGCATTATGCATTATTAAGCCGGGTACTCAATGCGTCGTACGACCTTCGTACAACCGTTATGAATCCAACTCGGTGGCTGTCTGAACAGATCATCATTAAAAACAATCCATTGAGTGAGCGCATTGCGGTGTTGCGTTTCACCACAGAGTCATGTTGGTCGATGACCATTGGGGGCAGTGAATATCCGGGTGTAGGCATGACAAAAATAGATAGATTATCTAGAACTTGGGCTGCTGACAGCTAGATAAATCAAAATACTTAGCAGGTGGCTTGTCTCTATTTGAGCAAATGTGGTTGGTACATAATGTTCTGTACTGGCATTATATGTAAATACGAAGTACATTGCAACATAGAACAGGATACAAACAGTTGTGCGTTGTCTTCTTTCATTAATTTCAAATATATTTTCCTGAGAAATTCAAAGGGTAATTAAATATGATAATTATTCCTGGTAGTCAATCTATGTAATCTGACCACATATTTGTTATTCATTGAATGTAGTATGTTTACATTTGATTACTAATGTTAAAGTAATACTGTACGTCATTATTCTCAAGGGTGGTGTTATATTTAAACTGTAAAATCTTCTAGTAGAAGTGGTTAAATAAAAGCAATTATTAACACTCTGCCCGCCAAACACGGATATCTCCGTGTTTGGTAATGTTATGTTTGACCGCCAAACATGGAGATCCCTGTGTTTAAGGTTTTTTTTTGGAATCCGATAGATGGGGTAATTACCGACATGTACTAACAATTTGAACACTATATTCAGTCTGGACTGAATATAGTATAGTATTTCACTATTTGTTTGTTTACATTGAGCATAGCGGTATTGTACAAAATCACGATTATCTCAGCTTCGTTGTGCAAAATTGCTTAAATCTCCAAAAGTGAGTCATTTTCATTTTACAGTTACGGGTCACAGATTGTGATTAAAATAAAGTATTTGGTGCCATTGTAAAGCTAAGATAGTTCTTGTAGTATACATTACATGTCAATCTGATCACATATACACACAGTTAAAATTTGCTAAAATGTCTGGCGATGGCAGATACTATTTTTTCAAACCCCTGGCGGTCAGAGTGTTAATCAATTCATTGGTTAATTGATGAATTTTATACCTAATAATGATACTGCATATTACAATATTAGCCCAAGTGTCATACTGTAGTATATATTTCACTTGATCGTTGTTATTCCACAGATATCCACGGCTAGAATCTGTTGATAAAGATGTGTTGTACAGGAGAGCTATCACCATGCAAAGGTAGGCAAACAATATAGTTTACCTTCATGATAACAACAGTTTGTAACGAGTTGGGGAGAAACCGCCGAAATCGTAAACTGTGAACACTGGTTTCTCCAATACTGTTCTTTTAATACTAGTATGTTGAAACTCTAGTAGCTTCATAAAATGTCAAATTTAAATTCTGTTACCATTTTATAACTTTTATTCTACTGTACTAACCCTGTATTAATAACTAAAAACTAATTTTTGCTTTTTGCGAAGAGTGACTTGCCTGGCTTGTTTTTTGCCATATACACGGAAGTACACCATGATACGCTTAATTCTCTCATTAATTAGCCTGATATATTGATTGATTTTGTTTCTTCTTCTTTTAAAGGTTTATTAAATTATTTGATAGTGTTATACAATACATTATCCCATCCTGGCAATATTCTATAGGATCGTTTGGCGAATTAAATGCAGTACGACAGATTTTAGTGTTATCCAAAAAACGATCTTCTCTAATACAACGCTTGCTGAAGCAGTCAGAAACAAGGTGAATATTGATTTACTATTGAATAATTATATTATTTTTAATTATTTAATTAATGTTATGTAAATTCAAGATTGATCTTTGTTATGTGATTATAGTGGTTCTAGATGCCTGCTGTTGATACAACAGTAGAAGCAGTAAAAGATTTCGTTGGATTATCTCATGAGGGCGCTGTTCATAGAATGTTAATCCGGGCACTCATGACACTCGACGGTCATCTGATGCTTACAGGATGTGGAGTTGGATTGATTGGCTTATTGTTGTACGGCCGTCTATGACGCAGTAAATGCCGGGCATTACCGTAATGCACTAGAATATTAAAGATTCAAGATCTTTTGTTGGTCCATATGTAATAAAATACACAGAAAATTGTTTGTTTTAATTTAAATATCTAATTTTTCTGTGTCAGAACATATTTAACCGAGTTATATTTGTGACAGTTATGCATTACTTTATATAATTCATAAAGTGAAATATTTAAAAATAAAATTTATGTAACTAAAATATTTGAATATTTCAGCAAACCCTCATCGATGCCAAAATTGTACATAAATAGGAGAGCGGCGTCTGAACACAAGTCGGACCCTAGCAAAGACCCAGAGTGCAAAAGCACTGTCTTCTCGCAGGTAAGATTTCAGCTTTATTATTGGAGCTGTAGCTTGGTGATTTATATGTGCTTGCCTTCTAATACCAGGGTACTGGGTTCAAATCCTTTTTTTTTTTCTTCATAACCAAACACATCTTTACTCACTAAAGCCCTTTTCAGGTGTATCTAATTTCTTTTGACAAAAACATGTGACATGCCCAAAAATGGTGATGATGACATCACATCATGAACATATTATAGCACAGGTGGGCAGAGTGCAGCCCATGGGCCACATGCAGCCCAACGGTGATTTGTTGCGGCCCATGAAAATAAATTAAAACCCCATGCATGGCATCTGCCAACCATTTTTGGCTAGAAAACCCCTTGTTTTTTATGACCACACCATTAATCTGTAAAAGTGTTATTGGAACTGAGTTGATGAAAACAGTAAAAACCGAAAGGTCCACTGATTATTCTCAGATAAGATAGTATAATACATACTCCAAGTATCGAAATGCACGCCATCGTGTCGGAATTCAATATTTCAACATTAATTATGTCATCGTCAGGAATCATTCCTTATGATGATATAATTAATGTCGAAATATTGAATCCCGACACGATGGCGTGCATTTTGTTACTTGAAAGTATGTATTATACTATCTTATGAAAACAGTAGTATGAAAAAATTGCCCTCCGACCCAATTTTATTGCCCACCCATCTCTGATATATATATAGGCAAATCATGACTGTATATGGCCTTTTTTTTATCAAAGAAAATTTAATAGCCTGGGCAGAGCTTCACCCTCATAATGAAACTTAGTTTATGTAGACCAATTTTATCGTTCTCCATAAAGACAAGGGATCTTTTCAGATCTGTGGGATACCGCAAGCATTTATTATTGTTTTAATTTATCCTGTTATTGGCCTTTACACTGTTAAATGAAACGAAAAAAAAAAATGCTCTATTTTTCTTTGAATCTCGGTGTACTTTTTCTTGACCACATTATAAACAGTACTTCCTTTATTTAACCTTTTAAACTTCCTCATACACAAGTGTTTAAAACGATCTGGTAAACAAAAGTAAAATACATTTCCTTTACCAACATTATTCTATATAATTTCCTGAAGGAATATTTGATCTAGAAGCTATTTTCTGTAGGATAAACATAAATAATTACATACATTTATAGAAGTATTATATAAAAATTCACATTTCACATGCACAATGTTTAAATAGAAATATTGGTAGGACAAATAAAATAAATAAAAGTCCCTTGTGATAAAAAAGCTATGGTTATCTTATCATGCCTGTTCATAATAACTCCATTTAAATTTTAAATCTTTCGCAAATATTTTGTTAGCTGACAATTTGTTACTTGTAGTGGAAACAAAAACTTTGTCTCCCTTTTCACTAGTTATGTTTACAACGCTATTCATTTTTTCATTCATTCGTTCATTCATTCATACATTCATTCATACATATTCATTCATTCATTCCTTTTTTCATTCAATTTTTATTCTTTCTATCTTGTGTATAAATATTTTCTGGTAGATTTATGAAGGTTTAAAATCAGGAACGCGATCGAACACTCAGCTGGACTTTCGATGGCCTCAACGTTACGACCAGTGGTGGGAGTGCAAATTCTTGTCAGAAGGCATCATTGACCAAGGTATTGCTTCATAAACAGTACACTCAAATATCAATCTATAGTAATACTTTCAATTTTTGTAAAGGTAGGAGAATAACCCATAACTTGCAGTGTCATTGTGCTGAATTGCGTATGGGCGTGGTCCGTGACTACCTAAAAAGCCGTAAAGAAGCGCTTCACGGTAGCTACGTGGTCACATCATTACACAACGACAGGGTCTGAAATGAACCATAACATCGGGGTAACTCCCCTGCTCTTCTGAAAGATGCAATGGGCACACAAGCCAGATGTATACACTGGACCTCCATTTAAAGTCTGTATCCAAGAAGACTTGGTTCTACCAACCGAACCATAGGCAAGGTGTGTTAAGGCTATAGCTAGCGGCGCCTCTGTCTTACCGCTCGGCCATTCGACTTGCATATGTTTTGATTTTATAAACAAACATGATTTAAAAAAAAAAAGTAAACATGCCTGTTTTATTTCTAAAAGATTTTAATTTATCAATTTTATTTCAATAATAATTGTTGAAGGACAGATTGTCTTTAAAAAAAATTTTTTAAATATTATAATACTAATAATACTATTAGTGGTATTGATAATCATCGCAATAATATTATGGTTTAATGAGATAGCACCAGTCTTTGAATTTTAAGGACCGGGTCTAAATCCAGTATTGGTTACATTGCTTAGTAATAATAATATGTAAGTTTTTTATATAGCTCTCTACACAACTAAGTCTCAGAACACTTCTCCACATTATTGCTCCAGTAATTTTAACAATGCCTATGGAGGAAATTCTGCATGAAATAAATCAGCACATTTTGCACTCAAACCTCCTCGGATACCCACTTATACTCCTTGGTGGAAGCAATGCAGATAAAGTGTCTTGCTCAACGACACAAGCAAAATGCACAGGATGGATTGAAACTCCGACCTCGAGGTTGGGAAACCAAACCATTCCCGCTGTGCCAAAACCACTTCTACAGGTTTCTGATTTTAGTAAGATAATAACAAACACTGTAATAGTCATGTAATAGTAGTTCTCTGAAATGAGTATTGTGTGTTGATTATAAAGTTACATTTTACTTCACTAGGGGGTGGCTTCCGGGACAGTCTTTCGGACATATCAGAAGAATTATGCCCAACGGCTAACGACCAACCTGATCCGCTTCCCTTTTTTGTGCGCTCACCGAACCAGAAACACGAAGATCTGAACACGAACCGTGACGTCTTTGTACCGAATCCTGGTTGCAAGGAGTTTATCAAGTACGAGTGGATTGGAATGCTAATGGGAGGCTGTCTACGAAGTAAAGAGAACCTGGTAAGATGGCAAAAGTTAAAGTCCTGTCCCAGACTATCAAATTTTAAAAACATGTTACATGCCTAAATACGGTCATGATGACATCAAATCATGAAGATTGACTGTTCCATTCAACTCATGAAAATATTCTTCCCATTGCACTCATAAACATTCACTATTTCTATAACATCATAACAAATGGTTAATGTTTTCTAGGTACTTGCGTTACCATCATTTGTATGGAAACAATTAGCGGGAGAGTGCATCAGTTGGTCTCGGGACTTCACGACAGTCGACTCGGCTGCCGTTAAACTACTTGAGTTACTAGAAAGTATAGACCAGGAGACGTTCGATGAAAGCTTTGCTGACGACCTAACGTTTACCACAATGCTTAGTAACCAGACAGTAGCGATGTTGAAGGAAGATGGAGATAAAATCAAAGTGCAATACGAGCAACGGATGGAATTTTGCCGTCTGGTGCAAGAGAAGAGAATGAATGAATCTAAGCAACAGGTCCATAACTATTTATTATTACATCTTAATCATTAGAAGGATTGTATTTTCCCATGAAAAACAACATAAAATGTAATTTTTTTTTTAAATTGATTTGCTTATAAAAATTGTCAACTTCTATATCATTTATTTCATTTTTATTTCTTTATTTTTTTTGTTTATTCTTTGCTAGTTTCAAGTTTTTTTGCGACTCGGTCGCATTTTATCATTTGATATCATTTGAGTTGCGAATTTGAAGTGTAAAGAAATCTTAAACTACTTTAAACTACAGTTTGTGAGAAATAAATATATATGTGAAAAGAGATTTTTCAGTTGTTGCTTAAATGCAGGAACAGAATAATTATCATCATTGTCAGAATCTATTCACTCAAGTATTGCTGTACACACTTATCAAACCTTTGTTTAATAATTTTCATCTAGTGTATGATATACCTATATACTAATGGTTTATTAAAATATCATTATGCCAAGCCGTTTAGGTTGCCAAAGCCTGACTGAACCATTGAAAACCAAATAGAAGCCTAAAATACTATTCTATGATATATGGGGCTTACCTTGCCAAATCCAGTATCAGTGACCAACACAAGGAAATTCATTTTGTAATATATTCATATTTTAATTATTGAATTATTTTTTTGCCAGATTGCAGCTATTAAGCACGGTATTCTGCAAGTAATACCACAGGCTGTTCTTGATTTAATGACTTGGCAACAACTTGAAACGTCTATATGTGGCAACCCAGAAATTTCACTTGAAGCCTTGAAAAAAACTAGTGAGTGGGAAGCTTTGGATTTTTTTTGTAATGCGTTTTGCTATTTGAATTGAATTTATGGTTGGTGAATTAACAATGAGCGCAGGAGCTGCAGTTTGCCCTCTCAATCGTAAGGTTGGGGATTAGACCAATAATAGGACACTTTCAATTTGTGTGATGATGTAACTCTAGAATGGTTGCACTCATCCATGACTATCATACGCTATCTGCACAACATAGATGTGGGCCAAGATGCGTCCTAGAAACCATGCAACAACGTTCTCGCATGCGCAGTGATGTCATTTTGTTGTTGGTCCTAATGTCATGCAGCAAAAGCCCCCTAATGCCCTATCCAGACTATCAAAAGCATGTGATATGCCTAAATATGGCCATGATGACATCACATCATTACCATATAGGCAAATCATGCCTATATATGGGCATACAATATTTTTTTGCCAAATAAGATTTGGTAATCTGGACACTTTGCTGGCAGTTGATGTCAGTTTCATCAGGTGATTATTTTTTTCTTTTCTCCCTATTGAGTGTATTTTTTTTCTGGTTTTCTTGTAGCTTTTTATGAAGATATTGAACAGAATGACACGAGGGTGAAGTATTTATGGGAAGCAATGGCAAACTTTACAAATGGTAAGATAAATAACAAGATCAATGCTATTATTGAGTAATAATTAATTAATAATCTACTTTCCACACACTGTTTTTATATATTTGTCTTCTCCCCTTGTTTTTAATGTTCCTTCTTTTCCTTTCCTTTTCTTTGTAATCTGTTTGGACTTTGTTCCCCCATCCCCTCCTTGTCATTTACTTATGTTATCCTAGACAGTTTTTTTCTGTTTATTGAATATAAGTGATTTTAAGTAATATATATTACAAAACAACACAATTTAAAAAATTGATTAGAACCCTTTTGTATGAATTTATTGAAAACAAGGACAAAGTAAAAGTGTAGGGATGTATGTTTGTAGGATATTGCTTGGTATATCTATGTGTGTATGGATATAGCTGGGTGTGGGGTGTGACTAATTGTGTGAATAATCTATATAAACTAGCTTTTCTACCACCACTACTTATCACATAAGGAAGCTATTGTTATTTAAGTATTTTTATGCTTAAACTCATCTTTGTCTAATTACAGAGGATAGGAGTCGTTTTCTAAGATTTGTTACCGGGAGGCGCCGTTTACCTGCTCCTCTTTATATTGCTGCAGATCGGGGGTAAGTTACATTAGTTATAAGATAAATTAGCTCTTAAAATCTGATTAAGTGGCAGATTAAGTGGCAGATTGAAGAGGGCTGGGGGGGGGGGGGGCAGTCATCCCACTGCAAATAATAAACAAATTTTCATAAAAGGGACTAGGAAAAATAACTGTTTTATAGTAATTTTCTATATCTGTGATTGGAGTGGAAGACATCATTAAAAAGTTAGAAAAGTATTACACCTATATTCATCCATCTTTTTCAGTTGAAAATATAAATATTCTTATTCGTGTACTTGACAATGTGTTTCTTACCTATTCTGCATTAAAAAGTAATTTACTATGATGCCTTTTCCCCCCAAAGAACTGAGAAAACAGATTCATTGCCAGAATCATCTACCTGTTCAAATACACTTTTTCTACCATGTTACTCCAGGTAAATATTTATTCATTATTATTTTATTTTGATTCTTTCATTGCCAGGGGTTCCAAATTGGAATCCCTCATGCCTCGCCCGTCACCGCTGCTCACCAGCGAGGGCGTCGTATCACGTTTGTCGCTGCTGACCGACGAGGGCGTATCCCTGTATTGCAGTTTGGGTGCTACTTGGAGTTCTTTCTTTCCTTATTTTTCCAATTACATCTGTTCACTTGTTTCTTGCGCATAGAGACCCTAGTATTTTGCGTGGTTTACATTAGTACTAGTAGTGGCTTTATGGTTATGCTGCTTGCCTATAAGTCACAGTGTCCTGGGTTCGATTCCTGTAATATACCATCATTTTTTCAATTTTCATTGCTTGCAAAGCATAGATTTTTATCTGTTACTATATTTACCGTATGCTTGGTATTTTTTCCCCGTTTCTTTCTTATAGTGCCAAAGTAGCAGAAGAGAAATTGCGTTACGCAGCCTACAATTGCGTTGCCATAGATACTGACATGGGATCCTTGGTCGAATAAGAAAACAAATGGTGCTTCTACTTAAGATATGATTGGTGTATAGAAGGTTAAAGCCAAATCCACACTATCAGATTTTCTTGACTAAAATGCGGTTATATGCCCATATATAGTCATGATGCGGCTATATAGTGGTCACGATGTGAATGTGATGTCATCATGACCATATTTAGGCATGTCACATGTTTTTTTTGTCAAATAAAATTTGGTGTATGGACTCGGAATGTCTTCATATCAGTATTTGCTCTTCAATGAATTGAGTTGTAAAAATACTGGTTGTGGAAAGTTCCAATGCATTTTAATTCCAGGGCCGCCCCTTAAATCTGCCCCTGAACAATGTGTGCACAGATAACTAAAAATCATGTTCATGTTGGCTCTAGGAATGGTGTACTTTTACCTCTGAATATCTAAGGCTTGAAATATCCCATTTCAATGAACGACCCCCTCATCATTTTAAAGATTACACACTCAAGAATCTGAAAATACCTTGAATTTAAGTTTTTGCTAGAACTAAATCATTTTCCACAACATGCCTCAATTGGTTTTTTTTCAGTTACACCTAGTTATTGTAGTGCTATAGTATGTTTATGGTCACTTTAACATTTACTTTATTGAGGAATAGTATTCTGATGAATTGTTGAGTGCATCTCTCATACTACCAATACAAAATATGGAAGTGTATGCTTACATTTAATTCATTGAGGAATAGTATTGTGATCATTGTTGAGTGTATCCCTCATACTACCAAATATGGAAGTGCTCTTGCCAAAAAAGTAGTAGCAAAAATATAAATTCTGTGGTTGTAGATATAGATATATATATATATATATATATATACACACACAGCCAATCATTGTGCAGGATATTCAGCATCGATACCAAATTGTTTTGTTAATATTTTATCCATTGTTCTTGAATCTGTAATTTGCAACACTTAAAAATGGCAAACCAGGAGATGGAGTAATTAATGACAATAGTTTGAGAATTTGTGTTGTGCTTTTACAGAAGTGATACAACAATGCTTAAAACAACTTTGTTATAAATCTATCTAATAGAATAGCCTAAAAACAGCAGTATAAGAAAGCTTTACTCATGAAGTTTAAATTCATACAATTTTTGGTGGTGATGTTTGCGCTTTAAAAATCGTTATTATTATTATTATATCCATTAGAGCATTGTGGTGAAATACTTCCATAATATTTCAATCATATATAATTACTTTTACAATGTTCTGCTGACAATATATTCACAGATCTCAAATACAAGTTTTGTGATTCTTGTTAAATTCCAAAATTTGCTACACAATAATTAGCTAAGACCTAGTGGCCTCTATGGTTTGCTTCTAGCATGCTTTACTCACTTTGCTCTACTTTTTTCCAGGCTCAAGTTTTATAATTTATGAAAACAAACAGATAGCAAGCCTTAATGTGAAGAAATAGGATCCCCCAGAATAGATTATGATAATCAAAATTGTATACATTTAATCTCAATAAATATAATTGTGAAACATAGTTTAATATATTAATGCCTCTTATATTAATATTACATTAATCTTATTAAAACATCTCATAAATTTTATAGTCATCTTATATTATAATGGAACCTTTTATCAACTATAATAGTAATAATAATAATAATAGAGTGGCTATTGTTACACCAGTCTTAAACCATAATTCTGATTGGATGTTATTGAACTAATCCAATCCATGCATACAATAACATCCAGTCAAAATTGGGAATCGATTTACAACTGGTGTAAAATAGTCACTGCCATACTAATATAGAGTATACAATATGCCTTTGGGCCTTCAGGCAATTTTTTTTTGTACTTTACTGCTAATGTTCATATAATAGTCACCATTATTGCATAGAATCAAACTATAATTGCTTAATATTATATAATAGCAAAATATATTTGACCATCAGGGCTTTGATAACTAAATCTCTTTATATGACAATATTCCTCACCACTAATTTAACCCAGGATTATATATATGAAGGTGGTTGGCACCTTAACTATCATGGCACAACTTAACTCTATGAGATTTTCCCCTGATTAGTTTATGCCTAGGCCATCCTGTGAAATAGGTTTGTTTTCTAGGTCCCGTTTTCCCCCCAAAAAAATCTAATATTGCTGCAATACCTACTATACATGTATATTTAATGTTTTATTAATGAATAATTCTAATAGGTATCATTTGGTAATGTGAAATTATTTTATAAAGTTAAATTTGCAATAATTTTTATAAACACTTTCGTTTCTAATAAGGTAGTGGTTAATATTAGATGGTTGTTTTCAGTTAGTTGAAAGTTTTTTTTTTTTTACCTTAGCGTACCGTTATCTGCATCCTATGCAATAGCAAGATATGGTGTATGGGATATGTTTTGGGTGGGGTGGCTAGTGGGGGATGTGCGTACAAGTATTAAACAGTAATCTTATTAAACAAGCAAACTTTAAACAAAAAATAGTGCATGAATTTCAACATATAATTACTAGACACTGCATTTGACTTATTTATATTTAACGTTTTGTAAAGCTACCAAATTTGACTTAAAGCTAGTTTTCTTTGCCAATGCCAGTCAAGAGGAACATCACATTATGACCATATATAGTCACATTTTGACTATATATAGTCACATGTTGACCATATATAGTCACATGTTGAATATATATATTCACATGTTGACCATATATAGTCACATGTTGACCATATAGTCACATTATGACTATATATGGGCATACAACATTTTTTTTTTCAAAAGAGAATTTGATAGTCATGACAGCTTTAGAGCAGACGATAGGCTCCAGTGAAACCTGTATGTTAACAGACTTCATAATTTAAATATGTACTCAAAGCGATTTAATATTCAAATGTTTATTTACTAACAGCATTTAAATTTCTACCAGGAAATTCTAGTGAAACAAGTATCTTTATTGCGAGATATGTATTGATTTTAAATTCTTATAAAAATTGTTTAAAAATTAACAAATATACTACTGTATATAAATCCCTGTTGATTGATTGGTTGATTAATTAAAAAGAGTATGAATTCCAGTACCGTAAAACCTCAAGTAAAAGCCAATGGGCTTGTTTTTCAAGATAGCATTTTCCAGATTATACACTGTACATGAATTTCAAAGAAACAAAGTAAAATTAAAAACGCGCTTAGTTTTTACAGTAGTTTAGGGCAAAGAATAGAGGCGTGTACCAAGACGCGCATTGAAAACGTTCTACGAACCAAATTCAGTGTGAATCTGCCTTTAATGCCGGTTAATACACACTATGATACAGATTAATGTTACAGTTGCCTTATTTTATTGTTTTATAGTAGTACATGCAATTCCCAAAATTTACAGCATTCATTTTGAAAAGCAGCTTTCCTCCCTTTTTGTAATTGGAAAAAAAGCCCATCTCGAAAAGTAGCCTATCAGAAGTTCGCAAAAAAAAAAAAAAAATAAGCCCAGGGCTTCAATTTAAGGTTTTATGGTACTGATACTTACTTTAGTCGTCCAAGTTTATCCAGCCAGAATAACAACTTACAAACTTGATATGTTTTTTTTTTTAGTTAGGCAAGACTTTTTTAAACTAGTAACTTGTTTCACGAACTTATGTTTTTTAAAGATTGTCAGAGGAGGGCAAAAAAAAAAGAAAATTAAAAATTTTGTTTTCTTATTTAGTAAATAGTTTTGCCAAAAATATCCAGATGGAGGAGAATATAAAAACAAATTTTATTGGTGAATGCAAACACTGTAGTAATGGGATGGTTAAATGCTTTAAATTTATATAATTAGGAATATAAATAATTAATTTTTATGTTTTGCGATTTCAAGGCAGCTACGGACAAAACTACTTTTTTAATTAAAAATCGTCTTTTTTTTGGTTCGCTAAACAATTTATAATAAAAGTCTTGCCTTAAACAGGTAATAATATGATGATAAAAAAAAAAATTTATCATGGTTTTATTTAAATTGTGTACACTACTGTATAATTAATTGATTTAATCATGGTACTATTATTTTATTTTAGTATCTGATTAATATTTTAAGCCTTTATTTTATTATCATAATATTATTAATTATATTAAGCGCTCACTTATGGAATATACAATGCATTGTTACCCTGGAAGAAGGCATTTCCTATAATAAAAGTAACATGAAATTAGATGCTCCATTCCAAAGTTATTTTAAAACAACGGAAAGATAGTTCCTTTAAAGAAGAGTGTATTGGTTGAATTTTGAAGCATTGGTTTTTAATGTTAAAATAAGTTTAAAAGTCTAGAGAATAGAGTATTAGCAGAAATACTGAATAGAAAGTGACTACTTTATTCTTGAGTTATTTATGCATATGCATCATCCCTTATGCATATGTATTATTGATTTAAACATGTTTTTTTTTCCCATTTGTTGTTGGATTTCTAGGAGACATAATGTACATATTATTTGGCTTGTGTAACAAAAAAAAATTTAGTACCAGAAGATAAAGGATTTATGGTAGGAAATGGACAATTGATATTTATTTAAATTGTAGGCAGTGGCCATAAATTCTTAATTCTAATTGAATGTAATACTGCCCTAGTCAAATGAATACATAGAGTAAAAGCCAATCAGAATTAAGAATTTGTTTAGGACTGGTGTAACTGTAGCCACTGCCTAAATTCTAATGTATCTGATCAAGGAAGATAAGGCTATGGGCCTAAGTGTCTTGTGCTTTTGTTGCCAGGCTAACTTCTTCCAAAACACAGTATTCTGCAAGGCTTCATACACATGCTGCTATTAAGTCATAAAAAATTATTAAAAAATAGAGTAATACCGTTCTTAGACTTAAATACTGAAATAAAATATATGTGATAAAAATCCATACAACTCAAAGCATTTATCATTTAATAATTAGAATATGATATGTACATTGTTCAAAAATTGTGGTTAAAAAATACACTGGAAATTATAAGCAATTATATAAATGAACTAAATGAGTTACATATATATATATAAAATATGTCACTTGGTATTTCCTTTAAAGGATATGAAAATGTTTTTAATATTATATTTATACATTTTATTTTTTTTTATTGTATTGTTTTATTGCTTTTTAGAATCAGAAAACTTGCCTCATCTTCTAATTATTACTTGTGATAAGTAAGCAGTGATCATAAAAAAATATATATTCTGTTAGTCATGTCACCATTCTTAAGGTGCCAATTATGGTACATTTATTTGTCACATAAAATGTAGTAAAATTTCTGTTCTGTTTTGCGTAGACAATTCCATTACCATATATGGTTAATTGAATTCTTAATCATTTTGTACGGCTATGATTACTATGCCCAACATTATAAAGACGGCTAAAACACAACTATGCATTGCTTCGTAGAGGAGCTTGGGGGAGAAGACACTCCATATAAACAGATGGTAACGTTGTGATGCAACTACAATTGTGTATACAGCCTGTGGAAATGCTTTTTTTTAGTTAGGCAAGACTTTTTTTAAACTAGTAACTTGTTTCACGAACTTATGTTTTTTAAAGGTTGTCAGAGGAGGGCAAAAAAAAAGAAAATTAAAAATTTTGTTTTCTTATTTAGTAAATAGTTTTGCCAAAAATATCCAGATGGAGGAGAATATAAAAACAAATTTTATTGGTGAATGCAAACACTGTAGTAATGGGATGGTTAAATGCTTTAAATTTACATAATTAGGAATATAAATAATTAATTTTTATGTTTTGCGATTTCAAGGCAGCTACGGACAAAACTACTTTTTTAATTAAAAATCATCTTTTTTTTGGTTCGCTAAACAATTTATAATAAAAGTCTTGCCTTAAACAGGTAATAATATGATGATAAAAAAAAAATTTATCATGGTTTTATTTAAATTGTGTACACTACTGTATAATTAATTGATTTAATCATGGTACTATTATTTTATTTTAGTATCTGATTAATATTTTAAGCCTTTATTTTATTATCATAATATTATTAATTATAATAAGCGCTCACTTATGGAATATACAATGCATTGTTACCCTGGAAGAAGGCATTTCCTATAATAAAAGTAACATGAAATTAGATGCTCCATTCCAAAGTTATTTTAAAACAACGGAAAGATAGTTCCTTTAAAGAAGAGTGTATATGGTTGAATTTTGAAGCATTGGTTTTTAATGTTAAAATAAGTTTAAAAGTCTAGAGAATAGAGTATTAGCAGAAATACTGAATAGAAAGTGACTACTTTATTCTTGAGTTATTTATGCATATGCATCATCCCTTATGCATATGTATTATTGATTTAAACATGGTTTTTTTTCCCATTTGTTGTTGGATTTCTAGGAGACATAATGTACATATTATTTGGCTTGTGTAACAAAAAAAAAATTTAGTAAAAGAAGATAAAGGATTTATGGTAGGAAAAGGACAATTGATATTTATTTAAATTGTAGGCAGTGGCCATAAATTCTTAATTCTAATTGGATGTAATATTGCCCTAGTCAAATGAATACATAGAGTAAAAGCCAATCAGAATTAAGAATTTGTTTAGGACTGGTGTAACTGTAGCCACTGCCTAAATTCGAATGTATCTGAACAAGGAAGATAAGGCTATGGGCCTAAGTGTCTTGTTGTGCTGTTGTTGCCAGGCTAACTTCTTCCAAAACACAGTATTCTGCAAGGCTTCATACACATGCTGCTATTAAGTCATAAAAAATTATTAAAAAATAGAGTAATACCGTTCTTAGACTTAAATACTGAAATAAAATATATGTGATAAAAATCCATACAACTCAAAGCATTTATCATTTAATAATTAGAATATGATATGTACATTGTTCAAAAATTGTGGTTAAAAAATACACTGGAAATTATAAGCAATTATATAAATGAACTAAATGAGTTACATATATATATATATAAAATATGTCACTTGGTATTTCCTTTAAAGGATATGAAAATGTTTTTAATATTATATTTATACATTTTATTTTTTTTTAGTGTATTGTTTTATTGCTTTTTAGAATCAGAAAACTTGCCTCATCTTCTAATTATTACTTGTGATAAGTAAGCAGTGATCATAAAATATATTCTGTTAGTCATGTCACCATTCTTAAGGTGCCAATTATGGTACATTTATTTGTCACATAAAATGTAGTAAAATTTCTGTTCTGTTTTGCGTAGACAATTCCATTACCATATATGGTTAATTGAATTCTTAATCATTTTGTACGGCTATGATTATTTACACCATCATCATATATTATCCGCTAGTAGAATTTGGTTTTATAATTGTATTCCATAGTTTTGTTCATATTTCCAAAATTATATAGTTAAGATACATTCTGTTGTTTACATTACAAAATGTAAAAATATGTTTATTTTAATCTTTGTACATTATGAACATAATAAAGAAATAATTTCAAGATTAACAACAAATCTACGTTTGGTATTTTTATTTTTGCAATATTAAGAAAAAGTTAACGCAACGTACATTAGAGTAACATTTAGCGCTATGCATCCCTAAGTCAAAAAGTCTATATTTGGACATAAATTACTTCTTTAGCTTTATATGAAATTGCCATCGTCAATGACACTGTTACCATTAAAGGTCATCGACCTTTCCAGAATGTCAAGAATACTGACGTGTCCCACAAAAGCATGTGCGTACCACTGATCTCTACTAATACTATAATAGCTGGATTGCTCATAGTGAGGCCACTGACGCATCATTTTAGACAAGTTTCTTTTGGCATTTGTTTAAATTATTGTTATTATCATCTATCTACTTGATGTGACTTTTGAAAACCGCATAAACTGTTGTGTCTAGTTAGATGGTTTGAAAAAAATTCCTATGTTAAATTTATATTTGTTATTGAAAAGTATTGCAGGAATCGTTATTTTTAACAACTACAACTTTTCTAAACTGGTACGTCACTTAGGCCCTCCAACATGGCGTCGGAGGCCTCACGTTTTTCTGTACCAGGATTGGCCGACGAGCAATCCAGCTATTATAGCATAGCTCTGTGGTGCGTACGTATGCTTTCACACTGTCGTTTTGTGGGACCTTAGCACGAGGTGTTGCGAAACAGTTTCTTTGGTGATGGATTAAGAATTTCTAAATAGGAGTGGGCACAAGTAGGGACTTTCATGGATTAAGATCACCTCAAACATACCATGGTTAGGGCTGAGGATACAAAAGTTTATAGCCAGAAGTGACAGTCTCTTGACCTTTTACGCAATTTTCTTTCTTTTCCAATACTTCAGGGGGGGGGAGGGGTTAAAGTCAGAGTTACCATGGAAAATTGATAAAATAATTTAAAGACTAACTTTTAATTAATGTCATATCAAGTCTTGTTTCAAGCTGAAAACATACCTAATCTCTTTTAGAAATTCTAATATTAATTGGTCTTGTGTAATGACCTATTACATAAAAGGCTATGCCCAACATTATAAAGACGGCTAAAACACAACTATGCATTGCTTCGTAGAGGAGCTTGGGGGAGAAGACACTCCATATAAACAGATGGTAACGTTGTGATGCAACTACAATTGTGTATACAGCCAGTGGAAATGCCCGGAACAGCATAAGAGACAGGAAGGCTTGAGGTACTGCCACCTGATGCCTGGAGGAAGGAAAGAAAATTTGCACTGGATTATTTTGGTGTAATTATCAAAATAATTAAAAAAAAATAAATAAATAAAATAAAGTAATAAAATATGATTTCTGTTACAAACCACTTATTTCAGTGGGAGAATTCTGATGATAACTGAAATTACAAAGAAAACAAATCAATGGTTTTCTTAGAACCATATTTTTTTACACATGGAGTACCAGAATTTGATTTGAATTATTTTAGTAATATGTTAAGTCACCATGCAAACCTTTAAATATTGTTATGATTATTATAATGATGATAGAGATGACAAATGTGAGGTTTTACTACAAAATGAGTCTCATTGTTGGAAAATCAAAAAATTAGTTTATATTATATTTTGGTAGATCACATTATAAGCTTTAATTTGATCTTTGAATGGCTTCCCTAGGATAAATAGATCCAGAGATGTTAGTATTTAAAGTGTAGGTGTATGAGAACCAGGTTTTGAGAAAATCGGCCTCAAAGATAAACTAACCTGTACAAATAATAGTACTTGAATTACAGAATATGCGCAGAGAACACTGTTTTATTAAGAAAATCCACTTAAAAAGTACACAATCATAAAATGTATCAAAAATATTAAAATCAAAATTTTGTAAAAATGTTGCCTTTGACCTATTTTGGTGAATATCTCAATGATTTCACCAACAAGGCGTCTCATTTTGTGGTGAGACCTCACAAATCATTTATCATGTGTGTATAGTTTAGTGTTGAGGTGTTGGTACCGGAAATAGGATGATGACATCTATAATTAATATAGATATTGATAAAATGAAGATGATGATGGTGATGATGATCATGATGAAAAGGATGATGAAGATAATGATTAAAACTGAAAAACACAAATACACTAATCCATGATAAAATACATACAATCCACTTACTTGTTGAGAGAACTCTTCATGATGCTGCCAATAAGAATGATCATCCACGACACAGGACCAAAGTTGGTTGACACCAGCAAAAGCACCCCAACAAAGGCTGGATCATGCGAGTCTAGCCCAACATATCCAGACGACAAATCAATTGATGCAATACTATTTGAATTTCCCTGAAATAAAATAAATGAAGATTGCTCCAATGATATTTTGCTTTAGGAGTGGTTAAGACACCAGGCTAATTATCTGGAGGTTCTGCATTTGACCCGAATCACTTGCCAGATTTTTTTCGCAAGCGTTTGGGAACACATTGAGCATTCAGTACTATAACATGTCTGGTAGGCCAAACATTGATTCGTGAAGAATGTTCATGCAAAGGTTTAGGTAGGGTTTAATTTATGGTTTTTATTTTTTTTCCCGATGCGATACATTTAAGTCCAAACAAATAACTTGTTGGTGCAAATTTTCCAAATGGAAATTGGTTAACAAATTTACTATTAAAACTTATTAAAAAATTTATTAGCATTTAATAAATTCATTATAAAACATTACTACAGTATATTTAAACAATAAGGTTTATTTGTTGAGTATTTGCTAAAATCAGCGAGTAGTCATAATTTGACTGTAGTCTGCTAAAACAACAGCAATTTGCAGTGTATATATGGAAGTTGATGATATCACACTTAACAGACATTGAGACATGGCAAAAACTAAAAATTGGGCGCAGCTATAAATGATTGGCATACTCAATTATGGATGAATACTTACTTGATTGTAAAATGCAGCTTGGCCCATCCAGAAACAAACTAGACTCAAACTCCAGGCTTTCAGTGGGTGTTTTGTTAAAGTGATTATTAATTTTTGTTGTATAAACACTGTCATGGCAACAACAGGTGTATTATGTGGCCGTAGCAACAGCGCAGCCAATAAAATGAAGCTTTCATAGAAAACATTAATTAATCTAATTTCAACAGATTTTTTATTAGTTTTAAGTTTTTGAAAAGTAGTAAAAATATTTGGTATAAAAAACTGTATTATTGCACATGATAACTTGAGCACCAAAAGTCCAAAAACAATTCTTGCTTCTACAATTCCCCTGAAATAAAAAATTTAAAAAAATGTATAAAAAATTAGTATAATCAATAACGTATATTGGATAGAAGTTCTTTAGTAATGGGCTTATACCAAGAGAACAGATTCTAAAATAAAAACAATGGCGTGGCAGGTCTAAAATCAAAACAAATCTAACCTACAGGTTGGGTTCGGAGATGTTCAAAATAAGAAGGAAAAACCCAAAGTTTGGCCTAGATTCTTAATTTATTTTATACCTCATAATTTGCTTATACCTAGTTTATTATACAGTCAAGGCGCATTTTTCCCCTGACCATTGGATACAGAATCAATTATACACAACGTGCAACCTCCTTTGCCCCCCTGTGGAGTATTCCTGGTTACGCGTGTAATCATTACTTCTAATTTCATTCCGAATCATTCACTTCCTACCAGGTGTCAATTTATACTCCTGGGTTAAGAGAGGCAAATGCAGATAAAGTGTCTTGTCCAAGGACACAAGCAGTGTGACGAGCATCAGTCTTCAACCCCCGACCTTCCGACTGAAAGTCACACGCCTTACATGCTGCGTTCTACAAAATATATATTTATATTTTTGAGATTGGATCCAGATGAATTTCTTTCAATATATTTATATTCCCGCATCCTTCTGGCGACAGTGGGTTTCTTGCTTATGCGTCTCCCAGGCAGTGATGCCAAATGAATAAATTAATAAATTAATTATTGTTAGCCAGAGTAAAGCAAATTTGAATATGTATCAAACAATCAATAATAATAGAATAATATCTAATTGAAAACCTACTTATACGAAGATGGTACTGAGACTGGCAAAAGTACATTCCCCACTGCATGTCGATAAAGGTATATAAAGACTACAGTTAAAAGGTTCATGGGAGAAAACTGAAGGGATGACAGCATGATATAAATTGCCACCAGAGACATCAAGTGCGCTGAAGACAGTGTGGTGACATTCTCAGGTCTGAGGAAGGAAAAAAATGCACATGTCAATAGTTCTTTAGTATTATTAGCTCCGTCAGAGGTCATGTTTTCACCGCTGTCTGTCTGCCTGTTAGCAATACTACACAAAAACTAATGAATGGATCATCATAAAATTTAGGGGAATGGTACATAATATTCAAAGAAAGAAAGAAATGATTAAATTTTGTGAGGAAATGGCCAATGGACAAGATCAAGGACAAGAAAATTCAATTTTTTACCCCGAGCATTAATCAAAATAATTGAATGGCCTGCCTGCTTTTTGTTCGGTAATCAGGCAAAGGTAGAAAATAATGAATGGAAACAATTTTAAAAAACCTAATTTTTTTTTTACCTTACAAGCCAGTCACCAATGTCAGGTAAATCAGCCCATTTTATTCCTGTCTGGTTCCAAGACCTTAGCAGACGACATATCATTAGGATCAAGACAATCGATTTGTAGTCTTCTGATTTCCGATCCACAATGCTCTGAGCCATCAGTTTAGCACAGATTCCAACCAGCAGTGTCATAGTCAAGAGGTACCAAGTTTGGTGCTCCTCCTCTACAAAACTGCTGGACATGAGACTAATGGTATGGGCATCACTACCTAGTAAGAGAAATATTTCCAGAGTAGATAGGGATCTCATCTGAAAATATTGATGAAATGAAAAAAAAAAAAAATTAAAATAGGCAGTGGGTCACAAATGTGCAAAAGTCACTAACTTTCAATGAGACACAAGATAGATAAAAATTATTTACTGACGTTTAACTAAAATCCATAATTTGATTACCAGCCAATGTAAAAGTATACAGAAGAACATGGAACCTATCTGGGCTGTCAGTATATTTTATTGTAGAAAATGACCAATATGATAATTTTTCAGTTTTTTTCACTAAGTCGAGACTTTTTCATACCTTGTTTTGCGAATTTATTTTTTTAAAATATATATATATAATATATATATATATATTATATTTTAATATATATTTTTTTTCATATTTAGTTTGCCAAAAACATCCAGACAGAAGAGAAAATATAAATAAAATGTTATTATTGAATGTAAACAGTGCAGTAATTGGATGGTTAAATGCTTTAAATTTATATAGGTAAATAGGAAGAAATATACATATCTTATTTTTGGAGATTTAAAGGCAGTGGTCAGGGGTAATAAAAATAAAGAAAAACTTTTATCTTTTTAATGAAATTTCCAGTTTTTTGTGGCAGCTAATTGGCCAAAAATAAAATTTTATTTTTATTTAAAAATCATCAATATTGGCGATGGGTTCGTGAAATGAGGTATAAAAAAGTCTCGCCTATAAATCATACAAAGAAATCAGGCATAAAACTTAAGTTAAGATACATGATATAATCCATCATGATGAATAAAAAATTCTCTAGAGAATAAATTCTATATTGTTAATGCAGCTTAATACTTACAAAAGATAAAATGTGATTTTTGACGATATTTCGAGAAATAAATACAGATATTTGAAAAAATACTGCGACTGCTACAGATATAACAAAAACAGCCGAATTAAAAATGGCTGTCAGTGATCTTCCACACATCAGGGGACTTGTATCAGATCCACTGGAGGTACAAACAGTCACATGGACAGTCAGGGTAGCTAAGCAACAGCAACCAAAGTAGAACATCTTTGAGATTTGGGTATCTATGGGTATTTGGCCACCAGAGGTGTAGAAAAGCGCAACCATAATAATAAATATAACCTGCAAGATTGATATAAGATACATGTTTAATTTCTAATTTGAATAAATTTGTTAAAAGTCATTTTCAAAACCATACTTAACAAAGGCAACTGATGATGTACCTAAGCTGAGTTTCTGAAGAATAGATGAATGTCCAGCTTATCCAAGTTTACATTCAGTGACCCTTATAAATAAATGACATAATGTGGTGCTTTATCTCATTAAGACTGCTTTGGAAAGTGGAGATTTTTAGTCAAAAGAAAAAAAATCCTGGTGCGGTAAAGATAGAAGAATAACCCCTAAAATCGCGGCATCATTATGCTGAATTGCTTACGGGCGTGGTCCGCGACTGCTGTAGCAACCGTAGAGAGGCGCTTAGCTCACATCATTCCACAATTAAAGGGGTTAGAATGAACCACAGCATCGGAGTAACCGGCTACTCTTCTGAAATATGCAAAGGGTTTTTTAAAGTGCACACATTTTTAAGTCATTATCCGAGAAGACTTGTTTCCATCAACTGAACCCTGGACAAAGAGTGGCTCAAACCTGCGCTGATGTTAAGGCTGTAGTCAGCTGTGCTCCAGCCTTACTGCTCGGCCACCCGAGATTCGCGACATTATATAAAGCCAATATGACCCTGGATTGGAAGCCAAGCACCAGGCTACAGCTCAAGTACATAATACTTCCATATATTCAGCCAACATGATATGCTCAAAAGAATTTGTCATTACTTACTTCAAAGCAGAGAACAATCCCACAAATCATTGCATGGATGTCGTATCTGGTAATATTTGCAGAGACTTTCAATTGCATCAACTTCAAAATACTGAGATACTTGTCAATAACCTTGTTACCGACTTCATGTGAAGCAATTGATGAGGGCGTAGTTGAGTATTCATGGAGCCAGGCCGCATGCATCTGCAATGCATGTTGATACTGGTAGGTAACATCCTCTTTTCATGTCAACAAAAAAATAAATAGAATTACTGAATTAGTCCGTATATGAGATTAAATTACTTTCTTCTGGAAGCCGGGTACCTACTGCTCCCCAGCGGGTTGTCAGCTGACGCGATTCTAAGGACAAGGCAACGCTACGACGTTCACGCAAGACACAGACAATCAGCAGATGGCGTCGTGTCATCAAGCACTCCCAGGGAGCGGAGTTAGATTTGTTGTATGACGGTCGGTCGTCCAACACAGCGAGTGCCCGGCCTTAGCCGAATGAAAGGCTTTTTCATCAAATCCTACACAAATTATAAACATATAGTTTTATAAATAATTTGCATTTTGTAAATATTCAAAAGCTTCATATTCTTACCAAACTCAGCTGGATTAAAATTCTGTTTCATCAGGTTCATCAATTGATTGCTATTAAGCTGCAGCGCCCTCAACCTCTGTCTCATTGGAAGCAGATTCAAGACTTCTGGAATAACGATTCCCAAACTATTCTGTGGAATTGGAAGACCGAGAACGACAGCCAGTGAGGGCGCCATGTCAATCTGCTGAACCTCATCATAGGGAAAGAGAGAACCTGCAAAAATTATTGAATGTATTCAGTATTATACACACATACTTTTCAAGTTTTTCAATAGCTGCAACTTTTCAATGCTGAACACTTTTTAGAAATTATGCAAGCTAAATTTACACTATGGACACGATAACGACACGACAACGAGTTTGTATTCTTCAACACTGCGCGCATCTGTATCGTGTTGTTGTCATGTCGTAATTGTGTCTAGTATGAATGTAGCTTTATGTAAAAAATAGGCTCCTGATAAGGGCATGAGTATGCTAGAGTATACTACAGAAACTAGGTCAAAATTACTCTAAACAAGGTGCTATCAGCCTACCACAGCATAAACTGAAATGAACCACCACGTCATATATTTACGCAATCAAGTATATTAAAAAAAAGTAAGAGACTGTTTCAAAACTCAACAGGGAGATTATTTCCTTGGCAGCAGTTACGCTAACAGGGAGAACACCATTCTTATATTTTTAAAAAGTTTCATCTAAATTTAGTAACAATTTAAAACCAAACGAGAAAGACAGGAAAGGGCGCTAGTGGTGGTCCAGGAGGGCAAAGGACACCCCCCCTCCTTACTTTGAAACCCATCAAGCTTGTCGGGGAAAATTCGAATCTCCAGCGCCGAAGGTACAATTCAAACATGCCCTACTAAACTCTCAAATTTTAGGGATTAAAATACGTTTAGTGCGAGCAGTGCTATCGTATGTGCCAGGTGTTGTATACTATTACAATCACATGGGTGGTGGTGCCAGTGCTTCCCCGACAGATGGTGGTACCACCGAAAGGGGACTAGTACCTCCGACAGGGGGACCCCTAACTTGCATGGTTTTACTAGCGGGATTAGCCAGGCAGGAAAATTGTCAAAATAATAACCGTAACCAGCAAATGTGTTTCAAAACATTGCTCGCGTAACGTACGCTCGCTCACGGCGTAAGTAATTGAATGCTGATTGGTCAATGCAAGACCCCTCCCGCAACGATTACAGCCTGGCTTAAAAAAGTTAAACACGGTGGCACACAGCCCGGCTTGAGATAAGCCACCTGGTTCAGACTGGCAGGTGGATAAACCCGGTGAGTTGAGCTGGGTTTATCCACATAGTCTGAACTAGGCCAAAAATGTTTTTCAATGATATCTTAACTGTGGCCAAAGAAACAATAAAACGTAAGTACCTTTAATGTCCTTAAACTTAGAACTCAACAGAATGAGGGGAGTAAGGGTCTCACTGGGTGACGCCCCACCGTGGCTACCAGCTTCACTCATCCCATGGTCTCCACACAACACCAGTAAAGATGGAAGCTCACTATAAGCGTCCTGTTGTTCTATAGAGGTGTATATCTTGGTCAGTACTGCATCCATTTCTTCAAGTTTTGGCGTCACAAGAGGACTTGATGGGCCTCCTATGTGTCCAATGTGATCTAGGCCTAGGTAATGCAAAATCAACACATCCCAGTCACTTCTTGCAAGTGTGGGCTCCAGATGCCGAGTAACATTATTGTCTACCTAAAATGTGATTAACAAAGTCAATTTTTATGACAAGAGTATTGATGCACAACAGCTGTATGCAGTGCCACAAACTGCTCATTGTGTACAGAGAGAAAATCTTCTGTAGCTTTTTCAAGGTCTTTTTTTGGGCATATGGACAATTCAATAGGACAATGTATTAAACCCCTCCCTGGAGTTTAGAAAAATTGTGGGTCTTTTTGCAAATCAATCAAACTGGATAAAAAAAACTGCCAAAACATATCATTGTTGGAAGTTCCTCTGCTTCAAATCTTAAGGCCACTACATGGCCAAATTAAGGATCCTATGGGACTGTCAAATTTAAAGTGGTTTCAAATATGGGCCTAGTCACTCTGAAAATAGTTGAGAACCTGGGGCTAGCTTAAACATCTTTTCCACAACTAAAAGACGGTGCACTATATATAGGCCTATATATATTTGCAAGGATAGCAGGATGGTGGAAGAGTATTTTTTGGCATACGTGTTGTTTTGTACTTTGTTCAGTGGAAAGACTTTAAGACATTTTGAAAAAGGGACTTACCTCTGTGTAGTCGGACACAAAGAATGATGTTGTACCATCAGACTCTTTAAAGCTGTCTGGAAATAACCTGAGCCAAGTGTCATCCCCAAAGAAATGCATTTTCTTTCCAGCAGCTTCGAGTTGATATATTATGTTGTCTTCCAACATAGCTTTTGAGTCTACGTTTAAGATAACATCTACAAAACCTGGAATAGTTCCTGAAGTTAGAGCCTAAAGTATAATTATAAAAATTAGTTAGTATGTGATACGTAACCAATGGTTATTATGGAGGGGGGGGGGGCAATGAGATGTGTAGACTCCTTAACTACTATATATTGGGATAAAAAAACATGTTTTTGTGAAGCTTAAATTCCAGTGCCAAACAATAATATCTATCAAATACAACCTCAAATAAACAAAGGCGCTGGAGTAGGGGTAGACATAAAAAATGGGGGGGGGGGATCGGTGTTGGGCCATAAGAAACACGGTGTTTTGCCGCACTAATATTGCTTTTACTTAAAATTTTGTGGACAGCAAAAAATCACTGTCAGGCTGCATGTGGCCGTGGTCCGAACTTTGCCCACCTGTGTGCTAGAGCTTCAAGGAAGATTTTTTCCTCTTGTACCCCCTCTTCCGCAAAACTCTCACTCCACTTACAAATTCACGCCCTCCCAACACCCTCTCTTAATAGGCTGGATCGGCCACTACATACCTTTGAAAATATTGTTTGACTGGGAGATATGGGCAAATATTAAAAGTTACTTAAAACAGTAACTCACTTTAACTCTTGGCATTGTAACTGTTGGAGGTTGTGCTTTTGCAATGAAACTTAAAGACTGTCCTCTGTCAATTAAACCTCTTACAAATGGCATCCTCCTTTTCTCTCCGAGTACAAAATCCCATCTTAATGCATCAATAAGTACTAGGACAAGTCGTCCAAACACAGGCTTGCTTAGCTCAATGGTGGAGTTTGTGCCTCTAACAGCATCTGGGCCACTAATACTAGGCTCTGGGGGTGCGTCATGATGCGATGCATGCCCTGCCACTACTTGCTTGATTGGTAGGAATCCTCTGATGAATATGGACACACCCAGAACTTGAAGAGAGACACAAAATACGATGGCGATTGTAGTCCACAGTAAATGCATGATTATTCAGGATTTCTTCATTCTCTTTCTGTTGATGCATTTAGAAATCTGAAATTTTATATAAAAGGTCAAAGGTATTGATTGAGAAAGAAAAACAGATTTAGTGACATTAAGAAACCATGGACATATTAGGTCCATGAAGAAACATTTTTAAAATAGTGCCAAAAAAAAAAAAAAAAAAAAATACACTGACTAAAAAATGTACGAGAAACAGACTTTGTATTCCAGTATTCAGGTCTCCATATTTAAAGACTCTCTCCAATCAAAGACCACTTTCTGGTCCCAAATTAACAAATGTCATTTTTTTTATTATTCTAATTAGAGACCAAAGCTACTTTAAAACAATGGAAACCTTGGTCCCAAAAGTGGTCTTTAATTGGAGGGAGACCTGTACTTGTATTTATAGACAAAATTGTACGCAAAGTTTGCACGGAAATCAGCTCATATTTTCAAATCTGTGGACAGAGTTTGCCAAAACTTTGTAACATGGGAAATATTTCCTAGTCTCACCTGGGCCCGCAAACCAATTCAGCTGCAATGTATGGAACGCAGTTAGATTGTATGTTTTCTGATAATTTCATTCATTGTAGTAGTAAAACATTTAAATGTGTGAATTTATTTAATTTATCAAATATTGTGGGTAAGGTAAACAACATGGGTATTTTACTCGTCAATTCAAATAGGGTGACCTAAACTGGGCATAAAATAAAAATGCAAGAAACAAGCTTAATTCTAAATTCAACAAACTTTGAAACATTTTCACTGTCCTTATTAGGAAAATTTGGACAAACTAGCATGATAGCCTGCCTGTGTGTGTGAGAGTAAACTAAAAATGAGTAGCCTAGGAGACTGCCCTACTACAACTAGCCTGGACTTGGTCTAGCCCAGGTCTAAATTCCAGTTGAACTAGGTTTAACTCGGTTGAACTGGTAATTTTCCGTCACGGAAATTGGACACTTCCAACTGGTAGGCCTAATCTTTCCTGGTAATTCATCTTTCCTAGCTTACAAGCACAACACGTAACGGTTTTTTTTTTTTTTTCTGGGTTTTTGTTGGGTGTTGCATAGTAACATACAATATATAGGCCTATTTAGGCCAGGCAGGCTCTATAAACAGTGTAAGTAGCTGTAGGCCGCCTAGGAGGCCTATGCCCTACTCTAGGCTAGGCCTACCTAGGACCTAGCCCTCACTGACTGACTGAGGCCTAGGCCCTAGACTAGGCTAGTAGGCTAGGGCCGGGTGGGCCTACTAGCTAGAAAGAAGGCCTAGAAAATAGATAGAAGAAGTAAGTAGCTAGCCTAGCTAGTGTAGCCAGCAGTAGGCCTAGACCTATTTCACATTCATACACACAATCAAGAGAAATCAAATGATTAAACAATGTTATAATCCCTGTACAAGCAGAAAAATCGGGACACACTGTGAACTTTTCATGGAGTAAACTCACTGCGACTAAAATTTACCATGGGCGCAGACATCTTGAAAAAGTATTCCAACAAGAGAGGGCGCAGTCTCTATTCCAAAATGTACGGTCTGCGCCCAAGTAAGGGAGGCCAATTTACATTATAATTTGGGGAAACTTGGACAATACAGTTTCTTAAAACTTTATTCTCAGTTCCCATCATCCACGTTGTAAGTATGTTTTGCAATAGAATTAAAAAATTGGCCCAAAGTCATGTTCTTAATGTATAAATTATTAAAAATTAAATGTATCTTTCGTTTTGTACCTTCCTGAAATGATATTTCCAAAAAGATTTAAAGCCATTAATATTAATTCTATTTTTAGGTTTTGATAGGTTTCTTCTCTTGATCGGACCTATTGCAATCCAATAAAAGGTGTATAACAGTTTCTTTAGCATTTCTTTACAAAGCTTACAATTATAACCAATATTTTTCCGACAACCATGATTGTTTTTTTTTAAGAAGTTGCAGCGGCTTCAATTTTTAGGCTGCCTTTTTCTAATAATTCTATGATCAAAAAGATACAGTTCGAGTTCAGGTTTGTCTTTATACGTTGTAAAATGTATCAATGATGATGTAGTTTCTGCTCTCTTTTTGTTTTGATCTTTAGATGGGCGTCATTTATGATAATAATTTTAGGCTATCCAATTTTTGTTTTGGCCAGTTCAACTACTCTCAAAATGAAAGGAAGTTTCTCAGCCATACAGAGTGCCCATTTTCTTTCTGGACACCTTCCTGCAAAATATCTGGACCCACATGATAATCTGATAACCTAATGATAGACATACGTAAATGTTAAACTCTTAGTTGATAAATTTTGGGTAAAGTAAATCAAAAAGAAGGAATTAGCGGAAAAAGTTCATTGCATTATGAAGTATTGAAGTCATGATTATTATAGAATAGTCTTTTTTGATTATGAAGTATTATAGCGCCATCTGTGTTTTTTTTTTTTTTTTTTTTTTTTTTTTTTTTTTTTTTTTTTTTTTATTGAATAAGATCCAGAGGTGCGATATTACTCTTGGACGATGCAGACTTTCACATTGAAAAATAAATTTCAGTATTTATTGAAAGAAAATGATCGTATTGATTAATCAGAAAGACAAATCAGACATGAAGTTGTTTTAAACTTGATTAATAACATCAATAATGAAATTAATGTTTGTCAAGTGCGTCCGTCTAGTACGGACACTCACTTTTGCGATTTCTCTGCTGCTGCATGGAATCAGTGAACCGCAAAGCATGCATTGATGCCAAGTTTATTTTGAACTGTGTTGCAGTGTTGAAGTTATTCACGTTGTTATATTTTAACTCATATAGTGAGAAATACACGAATCTATTGGGATAATATTAACTATCGGTAGGTCTATATGCTTTATAAATATAACATTTTTTTTTCTCGATTTGAGCTAGGCTAGGCCTGTAGGTGGCAGAGACAAACTTCACAGATGATGCCGACGCTGTTTATGTGTTGATGCGTACCTGCTGAGCCGATCTCGTGTGGGCTTACTCACTTACCACCACCACCACGGGACGGCGAGCTGACTACAGTAGACCTTAAGCCTCGGCGTAAGCGTAGGCCTAGCTAGGGAGGGGGAAGCTAGGCCTAAACATATGCATAGCTAGGCTTAAGCCTACCATTGTAGATCTAGCCTAGGGCCTTAACCAGATCCAAATACTCAGTGCTCAGCACCACATCCCCATCATCATGCGGGACGGTCACCTTTATCTTTAAAATTTAAAGTGATTTTGCCTTTTGCATGAAACACGCATTTTACAGATACGCATGCGTGATCATTAATTTGTCAGGCATAGCACAAGTCAAGGATTTGCGATAAAAAAGTTATCATGAATTCAGGTTAAAATGTATTTAAAATAAGAAGAAATTGGTTTTTATTAAAAATATAAAAACGGTCATGCAGTAGCTTGAGTCATTAAAGATTTGTTATTGAATTCGAGAATCATTTCTCTTTCCCAACCAAAACAACCCAGCCAACCACCCACTTATAGAGTACCACAGTCGTGTCTTCACAACGGCAGGTGTCACTCTCTGTTGTCAACAGACGTTGGTTACCGTTCGTTACGCCTGAACGACTTCATAGGCTTTCTGGAATAGCTGCATTTTAAAATCTAAAATTTTACCATCAAAACTAAAAACACAAAAGCTTGCATTATATTAGTTATCGAACACACATTTAATCATCAATAATGGTCATGCAGTAGCTTGAGTCATTAGAGAGCTTTTGTTATCTCGTTTGAGAATTATTTCTCCGAGAACATTTCTCTTTCCCAACCAAAACGACCCAGCCAACCACGCACTTATAGAATCTATTAGTCACATGCAGTCTTGTACAACCAACCGTTGATTATGTGACCGGAACCCGGGCCCCACCGGGATTCCGCCCCTGGTGCTTCCCCCCTCCCATCCAACTGATGTAGTGTCACATTTCAAATCTCTCAGGTTGGTAACTATGGATCCCATCACCCAGGCCAGGACAGGTAGTATAATGTTTATAATCAAATAGATAGGCCAGACTGGAGAGCCTTCTTTTTGTATGTAGTAGGATGTATATGTAGTATAAGATTATAGTATTGTAAAATCATGCATGCCATTTGTAGAGGTAGAGGTACCACACTGTTAAGTATTTTATTTGTGCAGAGCTACTGTACATTGAAAACCAACATAAATTTGCACCGAAAATCACTAGAAAAGAACAGGTACTGTACAATGATCGATTGATTGAGACATGGACCGAGGCTTAATTTTCTACAAAAATCCTGCATGGATATCAGCCGATATTTTTTTAATGTGTGGAAGAATGTTATTTTACAGGAATTGTCCTGCAGGGCATATTGTACTGTTAGTTTAGGTACAGTAGTAGGTATGCACACATTTTTGATCTACTTTTTTCATTAATAATAGCTTTACTGTAATTAGGCCTGAGCCTATGTTATTTATAGTTTTTTTTTTTAATCTTTGCTATCCTTTTGCGTGGTTTGCACAGCACATCCAGAAAAGTGTGATGTCATACTTATAAAATGTGAGTTTAGAGTTTAGACTGGTATATATATTACTTAAATTGTCATTTTTAAAACAAATTAATATATTAAGGCTGTATAAGATATAAAAATCACCTTCCCATAAGGAAAAATTAGTAATTTTTACTGACCTTTACTGACAGTTTTGATCATCTCCGGAGGGACTGATTGTTAAGAAAAATGTGCACTGTTAATAGAGTAACCTCAGTTTATTACTAGGTTTGATAAAAATGTTTTCATATCATACATAAATATTATCATCAACTGTACCCACAGGTTATATATTTTGGATTATTAAGGAAAGTGTATCATTATTGTATTTAAGGGGCGGCTGACTGTTTTTTCACAGTTGACTAAATCTCTTTACGTGTCCCTGAACTTAATGCATGGAAGTTTGTACTACTACAGTTTTTGTTTACATCATGGCCAATTTATAAATTGATTTATTGTAATATACAATGTATTGTGAAATGGTCACTGATGCCATGATGCCAGTTACGGTTCAGTGCAGTACTATTTTAGAGTATTGTATTAAAATGTGAACTACACAAAATAATTAATTAATAATTATATTATTTATCAATAAACATTATATTTGTTATTTAGAATGCATTTTTTAAAGTGCTATATTATTATTAGTTACATTGAAAATTATTATAATTTTAATAATAATGTTAATGTATCTTTGCAGATTTTAGACTTAGAGGGAACAAAATGTAACAAGTTCTACTGATACTGATTTATTTATTCTTTATATTGTACAGTAGTCACTTTCAGTACTGTTGCACTGATTTTTAAAGTGGAGGCCTACTGTAGGTCTACTGTTTAAACATGTAACAGAAATATATACAATAATATATAATTCAATGACCACATGATGGATAGCTGGAGTACAGTAAGGTCCAATAAAAAATATTATTAGTTTATCACCCTGTCATGAGCTGGAAAAGGGAGGGGGAGGGGGACTTTTTATTATTTTTTATTTTTATATTTTAGCACCCTGGGGTTGTTTGTTGTTGCATTGATATTCTAAGTAAAACATGATGGAGATAATACAAACAACATCCACTAACTATTTACTAAAAAAAATATAAAATATAATAAAAAAAAAAAGATAATATTTTAATAATTTTCAAAAAACCCATTTTTTCCCCAAATATATTTTCCTTTTCAATACCATAGAAGACATGTGCGCGAGGGTGTTAAACTAATAATTTTTTTAGTGGGCCTAATAAGTTCCATCAGAGAACAACAAAAATACTCAGCTATTTAAACTCAGCTAGACATGTGCTGGAATTTATAATGTCCCCTTCAAACCAGCTGTCTGTACAGTCCTGTATATTTCTGCCAACACAAGGATCACTGGTTGTATGCAGTACGTTATAAATTAAGAACAAAATAAAGAACATTTTAAACTCAAAAATAAAATTGGCAAAAAAATATTAAACACTGAGCCTTGGGCTAAATTGTACTGGTTCTTATAAAAAAAAGTGTATTATTATCATTATTATTAATTACATTGAAAATTATAATGATTTGATATTAATAATAATAGTATCAACTGCCATTGCAAGTTTTAGAGAAAAAAATGTAACAATTTCTACCATTGACCAACCATCGAATGGACAACCCAGTGTATCGTGTCAGTGTGCTTGCGAGTCAAGTAGAAGCTCTATAATTTGCATTGTTGATGTACTTTTTTTTTAATAAGCAATGTACTATATTTTTTATGAGTACTGAGACTGAAATTGATTAAAAAATAAGACCAGAATTAAGAACAAGTTGAGGCTGAGGTAAAATATCACAGATTTTATTTAAAACACTAGAAAAACCGACAAATCATAGGCCTATAGTGTTTATGTTTGAAGGGGTTATATTATTTATACTCTATAATCTATTGTACAGAATATACTGCTATTCAGTAGGCCTAAACATTTTTTATCTAAAATTTTTAAAATGAATTCACAAAACAAGTCTGAAAATGGCAAAAAATAAGAACACTGAGCCTTGGCAAAATTTCACTGGTTACAAAAAACAAAGTATACAGTAGGCACTAGGTATCAGTCAAGTATACCCCAAAATTTTTTATTTTATAATGATACTACTGTACGGATATTTTATTTAAATATTTATTAAATACTGTGTAAATACACAATCTTGCTACAGCAGTGAGTTGCCTAAAAAGTGTATCACTGTAATAAATGAGTATTTTTTCTTTGAACTACCGGTAAACATTGAATTAAAATTGATCACAATTTGTTATATAAATAAAATACATTTGATACAATTAATTTTTTTCTGGTATGATTTGACAGTTTGAGCCTTTTTTGATAGGAAAAGAATACAGAAACATTAATTAAAGATACTGTATGATTTTCTGTGTTCTAGTTTTCAATTGAAATCTAAATAATTTCCCCACATTCAAAGTTAAAAAAATTTGTAAATAATTGAATTTTTTTTATTGTTAAATTAAAGTTTTAATATTATACCTCAAAACACAGGTATTCTTTAATTCAAAATTATTCAACTGGAAGGAACCCACAGTATCATCTTCAAAATCCTGTAACCGTCAGTGAATATGGATTATGCTGTTCGTTCTACGATTACGTCAATTTGACGTAGTTATACAAATTTAGGAATCTCTATTTATTCATGATAATACTTCTTATTGACTATGTGACTGTTCTTCTCTTGAGGCAAAGGTATTTACGCGACAATGACAAAAACCAAGTGTATCTATTTGTGGCCTTTGAAAATGTAGGCTGCTATCAATTTGAAATTGAATTAGTGAAATGTCGCATACAATTTCCCTGAGTGAGACAGTTAAGTGTACAGTGCGTGGGTATGTTTAAATGGCCTGCTGTATTTTTAGTACCTGTAAAGAATTACCATATTTTTTCTATTATTAAAAATTCATGGTAATTTATTTATAATTTATTTATAAATTCATAAAATGAGCTGTACTGTAGCTTGTTGGTTAATAAGATGCTGGCTGTCAATTTCCAGGGTCTTCGATTCAAAACCTATCATGCAGAGTTTTTTCTCACAAACTACTGTAAATAATATGCAATTCCTATATACGGTAGACCATTCTCGACTTTCAGAGGCCTAGCATTTCGTGGTACGTAGTTACTGTACTATATGGATTAAATCAACGATAAAACTAAGTTGCTAACGTGCACAAACATTTTAAAACAAAAAAAAACATGAAATTTTTATTATTAAAAACAAGTCTAAGTCTTAAAAAGCTGTTTCAATGTTTATATTTAAAAATGAAGTACTTTCATGGTAACTTTGTGACCCTTTTTATACTGGTATATCGTTGAATCACTGAAGCATAACAGAGTACGGAAACATTTTTTAAAATTATAAAATGTTGTATTTAGATGCTAATGTTTACGGAAACATTTTTTAAAATTATAAAATGTTGTATTTAGATGCTAATGTTCACAAAACCATTAAAGAAATTGGTAAAAAATATGCTTTAGAACCCTAAATCAGCCTCCATAAAATTACCAAAATTTACATTTTTTAGGGAAAAAAACCTCATAAAATTTGTTTTTTATTAAAGAAAAATGTGACTGGTTTAAAATTAAAAAAAAAAAACATTATTTCCTGAAACTTAAGATTTTCTTCTTTAATTTGATACCAAATTTGTTATAATGCAACTAATACCCGATTCACACGTACAAAAATCTTACCAAATGTAACAAAATGTAACCAAAAGTAACATTTTACGGCACGTGTGAAAGTACTGTACCTCCGTGTAATATCCTTGTAAAATCTCGGAACGTCTCGGTAATCTTTACCAGCCTCGCTGAGGCTGGTAAAGCTTCCGAGATGTAACATGGATGGATCTGCGCATGCGCAGGGATTTCAACACAACAACAATCTACCTGTCTCTTATACACATCTAGATGTGTATAAGAGACAGGAACTATACAGTGATATAAAAGATTGATAATGTAAAGACCACAATACATCACCCTGTCTCTTGTTATTGATGTTAATTAGTAATGGTAGAAGAAGAAGATATACATAAAATGAACGTCGGGATGGTGTTAGTACTATTACTAGTATTACAAGAGTCCGAGACAGAAACGTTGGAAGCTATGCCTAGTTTCGTAGTAGTAGTACAGCAGTTGTTAAGGGTATTGATTGCTTCGAATGTTTACTGTGATGGTGAGTTCAACAGTCCATCTGTGACAGGGGTTCTCAACTAGGCCTAGGCTAGACCTATATCGCAGTAGGGAGACAGGAATAAATTTTACACAACCTTGGCATTACCTTACAGACGCGTGTGAATGCTTTTTATCTCGGTAGGAATAACTCGGGAGATCGCTCGATTACAATTTGTTACTTTTTGTTAAATTTAACTTCACGTGTGAATCGGGTATAATTTTAAGATTTAGGTGTAAGGTTTACTTTTGTGTGGAATTGCCCGACAGTAATTTCAGTAATTATCAAGATGTGTCTGTTCTCTACTGCTGCTGCGGCAAGGGTCTAGCGGCGCTATCCACTGCGCGGTGCTTTACTGAAACTAGCCAGCTGCTCAAGTTAGACTGCTAGAATTCCCCCAGTGAGTTGCGAGACATTGGTGGCGCTATTTCAAAATAAGTTCGATAAAATAGTCTATAAATAAAAGCATTATTCTATGATTCACTTCCTGAGCCTCATTTTGAATCCTTTTTCATTGTATGATAAGTAGTCTTCTTTTATGTATAAAGTTCTTGTACAGTAATCTCAAAAGCTCCGATGAGGGCAGTATATTATAGGCAGTATAGTATATTGACCCTAACAGCCGCATATATACAAGAAGATGTATTAATAATCAATTGTATCAGCGTTTCACGCCTCGGGTATGACCTTTCGACAAGGCTTTTTGTAGGCACTATTAAAATATGCATGGAGAAAAGTACACAGTGACGTAATTATATATTATAATTGTCACTACCACTAACAGGACACGTCGTATAAATGGAACGTCTGGTTAATGCTGTATTGTAAGGAACTGAAGGTCGTGAGTTCGAATCGTGCCTTGGTGTTTATTTTTATTAATTTTTTTTGTATTAAGTTAATATTCTAAGATATTAGAGAACTGTTTGACAAAAGGAAATCGAAGAGCTAAAGATAAATATTTAAATACTTAGAATGTTCACTTGTACAAAATTAAGATATAAAAAAAATGAAATAAAATAAAATAAATAAATAACAAGCCCTATTGTTCCTTGGAACCATCGCATGATAATATTGTTGGCTGTCAGGTGGTAAAAATTGAAGTTGAGGAACAAGGAAAATACCAAAGGTAAATTAATAATGTACTGTAGGCCTAGTACCTAGCATTGACGATTGCCAGCAAACTATTTTTTAGGCCTAATTAACCTTACCTGATTTCAATTTTTAATAGCAGTGTTTATTGCTGCGAAGCAGCCAATTCATATTCTTGACAGCAATTTGACCTCTGAAAGGTCATTGTTTGTCAAAAAAAAAAGGGCCTAAGACGACTGAAAAGTGTACTTTCCTTCTTTCGTTCTGCCTGGTTTAAAAATCAATTACTTTAGGCGACGTTTGTAGACTAACCAAGACGTACCAACATCCGCATGTCGCGCTAGCCTTATCCTACTCTAGGCCTAGATTAGCTACAGTAGGATGGTATAGGCCTAGCCTTGAAGGGACGAAGGTCCCAATGAAAAACAACTTCGCTCCTTGATAGCTAACATTGTCTATTTAACATCACAATAATTCATTATTAGATCTATAGTTGTTTTTTGAATTGTACTCCACAAATCTCAGCCGATACCTCCCACAACTCGAGTAACATCTCGTATCTATTGTCGTGACATCATGGCTCGCTGGCTCACACTTGTGATGACTCGCACTTGTGATCATATAACACGCTGGCTCGCACTTTGGCAACACTCTTTGGCAGTCAACTCGCCCCTAGAAAACCCGCCCTTGGAAACTTGCCCCATAAAAAAATGTACGTCACTTCCTAGACCATGCAGTCTTCAAAATAAAAATTTTGACCTTTGGTAATCAACTACATTTTCCACATACATAGAAATTTTTGAAACTTTATTAAAAAAAAGCCTAAACCATAATTTACCACTATAGACACCTTTTGACAAAAATGAAAAATTACGACTTTGTTAGTGTTCTAATATAGACAGTGTGTCGTGTCTCATAATATTTGTTATATTTTTATTATTCATTATTTTCACTTGACTCACATAAATAATTTTGTTTGAAGAACATTTATATGCAGTTGTACTTCGCAGCACTTCACTTGCAATTTGCAATTTCTAGTAGTTAAATATTAATTTTGATTGTTGAGTTTTATGTAATTGTAATTTTACAGTTTGCTTAAGTTTGCTAAAATTTTCATATCTTGTTTTTACATTTTATTTCATTGTTTTAAATTGATGCAATTCTGCTATGACTGTGAAAAAATGAAAATAGAAATAATACTAATCTACAGTAGAATTAACGGCGGATATCTCCGAATTTTCAGCTTTCCTACAAAGGAACTTTCTAATTTAATTCTCTTGTAGTTGAGATTACTATCTATACTGACCAGTAGGTAGCGTTTTATAACATTTTATCAATTTTGATAATTAATAACATCTGATTCTAAATGAACAAAGGAATATCTGTATTAAGTTTGATGGAGAAATCAATCATTCGCTTCCATGCGGAATTAACATGTAATTTGAATCTTCCCACTGTCCTTGAATGTTCCTGTTGTATCCGATGTTCTTATTGCGTTAATAAAGGAAATCGTTACAGAATAGATTGAATCACCCTTTATTGATGTTCTCATCTTTCTTTAAATCACTTCCGGTATACGGTATATAGTGATAGAGTAGGCCTACTGTTAGTATAGGCTCCTGGTTCTTATTACGCCGCCCTCGGGTCAAATTTGGCCTACAGAGTAATGTAATTTGGCCTGTGAGAAAAAACAAAATGGTACAACAATGTACTAACAAAAACGTTACAATCATTTTTGGCGGAGATTATCTTTGGTCTGTGAGATCAACTCTACAAATATTCCTTCCCTTCAAACAAATTAATTAAGAACCAGGGGTATAGGCTTATAATACTGTGTCATGTCATGCATATTTAGTGGTGTAGGCGGGGTTTCAGCCTGGGAGTGGTGCAAAAATTGAGAATATGGAATTATTGTAAATCCCTATTCCAATGAGAATAATTATTTTAACCTACTTGGAACTTATTGGCTGCCATTGGAGTGGTGGAGGCTGGGGTGTAATTAAAGCAGTATAGCTCAGTCGGCTAATCTGGTAGTAGCCACTGTGTGTGCGCTGAACCGTGAAGATCTCTAGGTCCCCGGTTCAATTTCCATCGCTGCCTCTCCTTGTGTTTCAGCTAGAGGGATTGTCTTTAATTGTGATCGTAATGCCAAGTCTCTAATTACTGTAGGATACTGTATACTGTAGCAGGGGCCATTCTGGGCCCACTATTGGAGCTTCGCCCTCTGAGAGCCCACCTAATGTTACCTTTCAGACAGTCATAATATTAAATGTTTTGTTCATGCAGCAGAGGCCTGGGGCAACACAAAGTTGTAACATCAAATGGGTCATTTTTATTGATCATAAATATATTATTAATCTAACGGTAAATAAACAATTATTTAAACATATTTATTATACCAAAATAAGAAATGTATGGTAGCTGTGTTTAAGTGCGTAATATACTGTAGAAAAAAAACATACAGTAGGTCAATGATTGAACACATGTACTGTAATAACCATCGTTCCTATTTAAACAGATTTTTATCTATTGCGCGAGCCACAACTCTGTATGATATTATGATATATTTCCTCTAAATTTAAATCATTTCTGATATATGAAAACGCATAATAATTTGATTAACGTGAATCGGGTATTGGCATGCTTTCGGTTGACGGCAGGCAGGAAAATGCTAATTAAAGATTTTAGTCAGTCATCCTGATATAATAACACTGCAAAAGCTTAGAATTCATCACCAGTTTTGCTGTTGCTTCAATACCTAATTGTGAGTATTCAGCTTTTTCTGAATTTGTATTCTTTTTCTTTGTTTATACTGTAGAATTGTTGATTTGTGCTACCAACGTCCGGGACAACAAATGAGTGTACACTGTATACTGTAGTTTGGATTTTAAATCACTTGATTGTGCTGGAAATAATTGGTCTACAAATAGTCTGTGGTTTCTGAGTGTCTCCAGCTCAGGTGAGTGTAAACATGATCTTTTGTAATCGGTTGATTGGGTAATCACTTGGGTATTTATTTGCCTGTCTTTGTTGAGTGGTTTCTGTTCCGAGACCACCCAGAAAATAGTCAAGTTAAATCAGCAGGGAACCACAAATGATGTTATTTTTATTTAGTATCAAAATGTTATAATAACGTAATTAACAGCGGAATGTGAATGATGTAAACCAAAGTAATAAGTTATAAATTTATGAAATTTATTTCAATTTATGGAATTCTAATAGAAATGTGATAGAAATTAAAGATATTGATTGTGGCGAAATGTCAAATGTAGCAAGTTTCCAAATGAGGATAAGGAGAAGGTTGTACAATTAAAATATTTTCCAAAGATTCTCAAATGTTTTAATCTTAAAAAACCTTTAATTAAGAATATGAGGGTCTGACTAAGTCTGTTATCAGAATTAGGAATTAAAGCCTGTATTACTTTATATGTGCTTTGGAGAAAAATGTTTTTTTATAATTTTTTTTCATTTACATTAAAAGCATTTCAAATTTGTATCTCATCTCATGACTGATTAACCAATTTGTTAATTTTATATGATTTGAGATTAAGAGTTAATTTATTGAATGTAATTCTCTAAGTGATAGGAGATGATACTTTGGTAAATAAAATGTTTTCAATATTTTCATACAGTAGCTAAAAATATCTGAAAAACTTTGAGAAATTTATTTATTTATTTAAGCTTTCTTTAACCAGGGGCTATCCATTCAGTGAGTAGCACTGCTTTTCAAGGAAGCCCTGGTGCATATAACCAAGGCAATTCAACAGAAGGACGCACATCTCGGGACATCAAAGGTTATAACTCTGGCATCGACATTCTAGGCGCACATGCGTCCCTACACGCTGAACGTTACAAAAACCATTGCAACCAGACCATAAACCGTCAGTGTACGTGACGAATTACCCACACGCGTGTTAGTTGCCATGATAATCGCGTGTCATGCGGTGATTACAAAGGCCTAATGATATTTTGCACTAACATTAGACTGAAGTTATATTCTTCATTTCAACATTAATTTTACCGATATTGTGGTGTATTGTCGTTCATGAGACTCACTTCGCAGAAAAAAATAATAAATGTTCTGTATCTACTCAAATGTTCGTTTTGTGCGCCTTAGTCCAACATTGTCAAAATGACAGTTTAATGTTACATAAGAACATGAAATTTTATAAAATTTGTAAATTTTCAACTTTTCATTTTCTTGGTCAATTTTCACAAATCAAATTGCAGTTTATAGAAGCATTTAACAAGCTCGCGTTTAAAAGAAATCAGATGTAACAGACATTGCGAAGTACCCAGAATTAATAAAATAGTAAATAACACCATAAAACGTATGGCACGCATAGACTAATAATTGACGGCTGTACTCGCAAAGTATCGGATTGTCGATGCCACAGTAAAGATCAAAGGACTGTACGCATGCGCTATGTTCGAGAGCTGAGATGTGCGTCCTTCTGTTGAATTACCTTGATATAACCAAAAAAAAAAAAAAATGTTTACAATCATGAAACTCAAAAATTAACTAAAAGTAACTAAAATGATTAGGTCAGAAATTTATTGTCTTTTCTTTTAGCGTCATTTTAAAAACTTTTATCTTTCAAAAATCTATCCATGGTCATTTCCCATTATGCCTTTGTTGATTAACGTTCCTTCTTGTTCTACTTGTTCTTCCCAATTCCTCCTACTTGTTACTCCATGAGTCAAGCATACTGGTGAATGCTCTTTTTTTTCTTATCTGTTCTTAAACTCTGGAATTCTCCGCCCCCACAACTGTATCATCTCCGATTCTGAATTATTCAAATCCAATCTTAAATCCTTCCGAGCTTCAAATAGTTCAACTTGGGGCTGCCTCCTTGTTGAACTCTGCCCAGAAAGTCTAAACTCTGAAGAAATTTTATCAAAACTTTCTGCAACATTGAAATGAGCATTCTTCTATAATGTATGCTGTACAGTAGAATTTTTATTATGTAATATGTTATCACCTCATCCTACGCTTTTTCAAAAAGTCACAAGAAACATTGAAGCAAAATATTGGTCATACTGTAATGTCAAGTTGTTGAAATCTCATCTATATCAATTACTGTGCACCTTTTACACTTGCACACTCATTTTCTGATTAATTTCAAGAGTAAAGTGTAATCGCTGAAAGTGTACAGTAAACTGCTTTATAATGTTTACGACTTTAAAATTAGATGATTTCGTCAAACAGGGATTTGTACGGCTATTAATTTTAGTTTTTTTAGTTTTACAGTACAGTATATATAGAGAAATGTGATGAAATAATGAATTGATGTAATCAAACCAATATATGAAAATGTTTGCAATTTCTGTATTTTAGGCCATAGAGAAACCATCAAAGTGATTCGTAGATATTGTATTTATTGAAAGTATTAAAACACCACCCTATATGAGAGTCTGTGATTAAAAATTATTGGATTGCAAAAATTAATGGGTTTTCTGTAGTACAGTATGCAGATAGTACCGTGAAGTAGACAGTTTTTAATGAACACTGGGGCTGAAATTACTTGAAAGATTGGAACAAAATAAGAACGAATTGAGGCTGAGGTAAAATGCCAATGAGATTGAGCAAAATTTTATTGGTTCTTATTAATCTTAATAAAAAAAAATAGTGTATACAGCATTAATTGAGAATGAGAAGGGCGTTTTAATTATTGGAGTACTCGACTTGGTAACTGATCATATGACAATGCCTACTGCCCTTTAATTAGATCAGATCTAAGTATGAAATATGTATTGATTTTTAACATAATATTCAGTGTAGTGCTCAATTTAATTATTCAGTGTCCATTACAATATCAGGCTGATGTTAATAATATCAGAGATTAGTACCAAGAATTTAAAGAGTAATTTCTAATAAAAGTATATTTATGATTTGTTGCTGATTTAATATTAGTTTAGAATGTTTTTAATTAAAATTCATAACAATGTATTAAATTCATTGTTTCACAGGGAAAAACAACAACCTATAGTATATTCATATTCAGCCTTCATAATATTTTCAATTATTTTTTATTTATTTATTAAATTATAATTTATTGATATATTTTAATATTTTATTTTCAAATAAATAATACATACTGTAGAGTTGGTAACAAACAGTGTAAATTTATACTGATTTGTCCAAGAACATTATTGTTGACACACAGTATTAAGACCCGATACGCATTGCTAGTTATTCTAGGATTATTGTATTTTGTGGGGTTTCCTTGGTGTTTTGCCTTGAAAACAATTTTTAAAATGGAGCCACCCAAAAACAATGTTATTGTACTGTAGATAAGAGGAAGTTGTTTTTTTATTCTATTTGGCCTTTAATTTCTATGATTACACTTTTTTTTTTTATAAGAACCAGTAAAATTTTGCCCAGGCTCAGTGTTCTTATTTTTTTGGCCAATTTCAGGCTCAAAATGTTCTTATTTCATTCTTATTTTACACAATTTTCAAACATAGAAAATTATTATTGTACAGCAGTATACACTGTACTGGGAGGTGAAAGCGGCCCTGCAAAAAATGGCCCCTGAATGAAAGGCCCAGCAAAAAATGGCCCCAAATGGGAGGTAGGTACACCTACTGCAATGTATTATAGAGGGTATTAGATAGTCACACCTAATGCACATAAGGTAGAGATATAATTTTTTGGTTTTTCTAGTTTGACATTCTAGAGTACCTCAGCCTCAATTTGTTCTTATTTTGCTCTTAATTTTTAAGCAATGTCAGCCTCAGTGTTCTTATAAAATGTGTTCTTATAAAAAAAAAAGTGTATTATACATGTCAAGTAACTTGGGCATTGTAATATTATAGTACCTTGTACTATTTCTAGTAACAATTTATACATTGATTCAAGAAAAGATATTTAAAAAGCAGAATTCATGCTCAGTTTGATTGATCAATGTTGTTTACAGTGAATACGCAATGATTGACTAGCCCCTGAGGTACAGTACCTTATTTGCAAAGACTATGAAAAACCATCATCAGTATAATTAGCATGCTAAAACACACTATAATTAGCAACCCTCCAGTGATGCTACTGTAGCCTAAGTCAGTTTCCTCTTCTCGTTAGCCTTTAGTATTCAGCCTCAATGCTTTACCTAGCCGAGAATTCAATTATCATTCGTTCCTTTCAATCAACTGAATATCTCCACAGAGTTTGTTGTGCTGGTAACGGGTAGGCAGTTGCATCGCTAACTACCAGCCTCCAGTCTCCTCTTAATTACAGTTAATCTAACCCAATTTAGAAACTGTATAAAATTCTCAACTAAATATAAGTGATGTTCTACTGTAATATTTGACGTCACAGTGCAGTACTTAAACTACAGTCAACGTGAGGCCACACACTTAAATCAGAGGATATAGAAAGCTAATGGATGTTTATGGGTTGTATTGTTTACGGTAAATACCATAGAAGTACCAGACTATTTTATTTATGCTTGTCACTAGACAAATTTATATCATTCTCATGAAGGTGATGATGAGGATGATTATGATTTTGTTAATTGGTATTTATACAGCGCTGCACCTATTCCTTTAGGTTACAAAGTGCTTTGATTTCCCTGGTCATTGGGTCTGCATACTTTAAGTGTTGCTACTTGGTAATCAGTGCAGGAGCAGGCAACCCCACCAGGCACCCATTTGTACTCCTGGGTGGAGAGAAGCATTGCAGATAAAGTGTCTTGCTCAAGGACACAAGTGAAATGCACAGCGATAGATTGAAACCCCGACCTCAAGATTGGGAAACCAAACCGTTCCTGCTGCGCCAAACCGCTTCAATTGTGTTACACCTCCATGATCCTTACATTATTAATTACATTACCAATTTTTTAAGGAAAATTTACACTTTCTAAATTTCATTAGGTACGGCTCATTTTGCCCAATCAATGGAATCGGTACCAAGTTGCACAAATAGGTATTATTTGCCAAAAGTTATTAATATTTTTTGAAAAT